CAGATTCTGGCGGCCGCTTCGGATTTCTTTAATAACATTTTTGGTGCGGATCGCCGTAAGTGCTTCAAGGAGTGGAAACCTCTGCCGGGGAAGAAGCTGAGCCCCTGGAACACGGGTGGGCTGGAAGCGGACTGGACGGAGGCAGAGGTGAAAGCGGCTTTTTCCGCAATGGCGGACAACAAATCCCCAGGGATGGACGGGTTACCGAAAGAACTCTTTGAGATGCATTGGGACCTGCTGGGAGGGAGTTTTATGGCGTTGGTGAAGGATTTCACCACCTCTGCGGCTCTTCTGACGGACATCAAAGCTGCGGTGACCATACTTCTGCACAAGAAAGGGGAAAAGGACAAGTTAAACAACTACCGCCCTATAACGCTGCTGAACTTCACCTACAAAGTGTTAGCAAGAGTGGTGGCAGATCGAATCAAGACGGTGCTGCATCGCGTGATCTCACCTGAGCAGTACGGTTTCCTCCCGGGGAGAAGGGCTTCAGATGCTGTGGCGCTGGTAGCGGGCATCATTGATGCGGCAAAGAACGGGAGCGAGGACTGGTTTTTAGTGCTAGTTGACTTTCAGAAGGTGTTTGACTCAGTCTCCCGCGGCTTCGTCTTCGAAGTCATGAGGAAAATGGGTTTTCCGCCGCGGCTCGTGTCCTGGATTGAGGGCCTGCACACAAACACCACGACAAGGTTGCTCATCAATGGATGGCTGGGGGAAGGAATTGATGTTGCGTCAGGGGTGAGACAAGGCTGCCCGCTGGCCCCTTACATTTTCCTCTGCGCCGTTGAACCGCTGGCGCAGGAGGTGGAGAGGAAGAAGCTGGGAATCTGCAAAGCAGGGATGCGGCTGGGCTATCTGGGATACGCGGATGACACCACGCTCCCCCTGCAAGGCGAGCAGCAGATTAAAAAAGCAGAGAAGCTGCTAGACAAGTTCGAGAAGATGTCCGGTCTAGCTACTAACAAGGAGAAGTCGGTGGTGTTGCCGCTCGGTGCGAAACGGGGCAGACCGTCGAGTGGAGCCTTCAAGTGGGCGAAGCCGGGCGATGCGGAGCGGTTGCTGGGTGTTTGGGTAACCCCAGACGGTGATGGGTAGCAGACTTGGGACCTGGCGCTGGGCGACATCACAAAGAAGCTGGTTAGCTGGAGGAAAAAGTATCCCACCGTCAAGGCAAGAACGGCAGTGGTGAATAACTACATCCAACCGAAAGTGGCATCTCAAGCTCAGGTGTACCCGCCTCCCGCGGAGACCTGGGTTGAAACGGAACGGCTGTTGCACAACTTCGTATCTGGCAACAACGCCACGCCAGCCAAGCGGTTTTTGCTGTGGAGCAAAGATCTGTTGTACACAACGAGAGGGGAAGGCGGCCTGGGGGTGCAAGACCCGACGATCGTCTTGGCGTGTTTGTCGGCCAGACGAATCGGCTTGCTTATGACGGAGACCGATCGCTTGAAACGTGCCATAATGATTTAGGCGGCCGACCTCCCGATGGGCATGGACTCCTTCACGGCGCACGACAAGCTTCTGAAAAAATGGGAGGGGAGGAGCCAAAGATGGAAGCAGTCATGTGAAAGTTTCATGAAATCGCCACTGAGCATCTGCCCGGCAGTGTTAACAAGGGAAGAGGCGGCGAGAGAAAGGCTGGTGTTTAATAGGGATATTCTGGTGGGCGTGGCCATGCCGGTGGGAGGCCAAATGGACGCTGAGCGACTGTGGAATACACGGCTGGGGGACCTGGTACGGCGGCCGAAGGACGGCGCCCCGGAGCTTAAGACCAAGGAGCTTCTAGCTGCTGAGTTAGGAGGGACGGGGCCTGCTAATTTGGCGCTGAAAGCTGAGGACTCCTGAGGAGTGGAGGAGATTACTGCTGACCCCTGCTGAGAACTCGGCTGGCTCGGATCCTGGGGAGAGGAGGTTGAGGTTGCCAATCTTTGATGACGGGCAGGTTGTCTCGATGAAAAAAATGAAGAGCAATTGAGGGGGGAAGCCCTTACATGCGCACAGGAGACAAAAGTGGGCCGAGCGGTGGAGCGGAACCATCAATTGGCGGGAGGTGATAGACACTCGGGAGTCACTGGCGGTGCCCAGCCGCCCAAGGGATGTCCTCACACCCCTGCACTGCATGAACTTACAAGTTGGCGAGAGGCTGGCCTTTCTCAGCTCGAAGCCAGTCTGTCCGCACTGTGCCGAGTTGGAGTCAGTGGAGCACTGCCTTTTCGCCTGCCCGCGCATCCAAGTGGTGGTAACAGCGCTGAAGCGGGCACTCCATCTGATCAATCCACGGCGCAAGGTGGCCTCGCTGGGAGACCTTCTCTTCCGGAAAGCTGGCTCCAACTCAGCTTTTCCGGAAGCGACAATTACAGCCATCACTCTGTCAAACATACTAAGCAGACGGGCCTAGACTTAGTAGCCTAGGCCACGCTAAGACTAGGAAGGAGACGCCAAGTACGAGGGAGAGTTGAGCAAACGGAAACAGAATTGAGAAAGGAATTTTTGGACTAGCAAGCAGCAGGATACAAATAGCAAACCCTAAGGGGCTGTACTCACTATTGAGTACCCCACTGCAGGCTACACAAATAACATACTCTGACACACCCCCATAGCCAAAGTGGGGTGTAATTAGCACAATGAGCAGGCAGTGCAATAGTTCACAATTATGAGCAAAGCTAGAGGCAGTCACAGAAGGCAAGTGAGGAGGAGGAGGGACTGTAGGAGGAGAGAAGATGGGAGGCGACGACTGAAGCTGCAGACACACGGGCAACAGGAGCCACAGCTGGCACAGTGGCTACCGAGAGCACGACGGCTCCGGACTACAGGAGTAACAGGCTCTGCGGCTACGACGAGCGGCAGGAGCAACGGACCCACGGGCGACTGGCGCAGCAGGCTCGCTGGGCTACTAGAGCGCGACGGCTCCGGACTACAGGCGCTGCGGACGACAAGACGGCTGCCTCCACTCAACCTCCCCCAACTGTCCCGCACCCCCCCCACACACCCCCTGCTGCACCCCTAGCTCCACTCCCACGTCACCCCCCTAGCTCCACTCCCCGCGGCTCCCACACCTCCACCCCCCTCAGCAGCAGCTGCAGCAGTGGGAGAAGAAAAAGGAGGAGGGGAAAAGGAAGGGGAGCACCCACACCTCGCACCCCCATGCTCGCCACCCCACACCCCCACCACCGCGGAACGCACGGCGGAATGGGAGCAATGGGCAGCACGGGGGGGGGGGGGGGGGGGGGCGGGGGGACGGGACGGGCTTCTGCAGGGGCGGCTCGCGCGGGTCCTGGGGCGACTGCTGCAGGCACGGGCTGCTCCAGGGGCGGCTGCTGCAGGTGCGGGCTGCTCCAGGGGCGGCTGATGCAGTGGCGGGCGGCTCCAGGGGCGGCCGCTGCAGGTGAAAGGTAGGAGGGAGGGGGGGGGGGGAGGAGCGCGGCCCCCAGGGCGCCCCGACGGGCGACGAGAAAGGGAGCCGCGCTGCCCCCCAGGGCCGCCGCGACGGGCGACGGGAAGGGCGCCGCGCGGGCCCCCAGAGCCGCCGCGACGGGCGACGGGAGGGGACCGCGCGCGGGCCTCTGTGGGCGCCACGACGGGCGACGGGAGGGGAGGCCGCGCGGGCCCCCGAGTGCGCCTCGACGGGCGACGAAAGGGGACCGCGCGCGGGCCCCCGTGGTCGCCACGACGGGCGACGGGAGGGGAGGCCGCGCGGGCCCCCGAGTGCGCCTCGACGGGCGACGGGAGGGGACCGCGCGCGGGCCCTCGTGGTCGCCACGACGGGCGACGGGAGGGGAGGCCGCGCGGGCCCCCGAGAGCGCCACGACGGGCGACGAGAGGGGAGGCCGCGCGGGCCCCCGAGAGCGCCTCGACGGGCGACGGGAGGGGACCGCGCATGCCCCCCAAGGGCACCACGACGGGCACCACGGAAGGGTAAACCGCCACGCGCCTCGAGCGCGCGGCGGGCAGAAATTAGGGTTTCTGCGCCGCGCACCACGGGGCGCGCGGCGGACAGTACGGCAGCGGAAGCAGGTGGTGGGCCCATACAGGAAGGCGGCAGTGACACGCCGCCCTTTGATACCATGTCAAACATACTAAGCAGACGGGCCTAGACTTAGTAGCCTAGGCCACGCTAAGACTAGGAAGGAGACGCCAAGTACGAGGGAGAGTTGAGCAAACGGAAACAGAATTGAGAAAGGAATGATTGGACTAGCAAGCAGCAGGATACAAATAGCAAACCTTAAGGGGCTGTACTCACTATTGAGTACCCCACTGCAGGCTACACAAATAACATACTCTGACACACCCTTCATCAACTGTGGTTGGAGAGATGTGACGCGGTTTTTCGGGGAAAGAAATTCCGAGCGCGCCGAGTCCTGCGGCGAGTGCTGTTCGCTTTCCGGCAACATGCAAGGATATACACCAAGGCGAGGGAAAATACGTGGCGAAGGCAGAAGGACGGGAAGAACAGCTGCAAACTCCAGCGGGGCATCCTAGAAGAGCAACGTCTGCTGAGTCGGATCCGGGTGGCAGACGATAAGAGATGGACGTGGACCAGGGCTTTCGAGTCCATCTGGACGAATCCGAGGACGGTTTTTAACCCACCGTAGATTCTTACCTGGGGGTAGTGTGTCTCTGCCCACTCACGCTCGGTTACGACCGATATTGTTTAGTATGCATTGGTGTTCTGCGGTGTATACTTTTCAATAATACAAAAAAACAAAAAAAAACTTATATTGGAAGGTAGAAGTATCGTACAGAACATTTTTCACTTTGAAACAATTTTACCGGCATTAGTCACAAATGCTGGTTCACGCAACATTTCTTGTTCCAAATGTCCACATGTAGCTTTGGAGTTTTTGCACTCCAGATGAAGGGCAAAACAGGCATGTGTACAGTTTCGTCTCGTACACAATCCCTTCACAATGTCCCTGGAATCCTACACGAGTATTTGCAAGCAAGCTGCCTTACAACCCACCCACACAAGTTTTCTCTAAAAACTTTTCTCTAAAATGTCAGTCCAACTTTGAGCTTGCATATGCAAGCAAAATGGCAGAGAGTACAACAGGAGTCGTGATAATCGTGAGTGCAACAGCCAGGCTAGGTGACTCAGTAAGCTGCGGTACAATAAAGAGACTTCCGTATTTAATCGCCACTGCTCCCACGACACACCCCCCTAGAGCTTTGGCGAAGTATGGGCCATCGCCCTGATACGAGCGATGGAGGGAAATGGGGCAAGGTCGAGCAGGGAGGAAATGCGAGCAAAATGGGGTAAGGTTGAGCAGGGGGGAGAGTGGGAGCAGAAGGAGAAGTGGACGCATAGCCTTGCATGGCCTGATGGAAGGATAGATAGCTAGGAAGGCTGGGAGGGCACCAAGGGATGAAGATACGCCATTGGACAAGGCAAACTACTCCCACAACGCTTCACGTCTCCTATTTTGCCTCTTTCCCCCTCTCTCCCTCACCTCCAGCCCTCGCCCCCCTCCACCCCCAACCCTACCCTCCCAAAATCACCCCTCCCCTCTCTCCCTGACCCGGGGATTACCTTGGTAAATAGGGGTCGTTTCTCGTCCGCGTGACCGCGCCCCTGACCGCTTTCACCCTGGCTCGACGCCCTCACCACCACTCCTACACTCCTGCGCTGAACCGCCAGACTCCGCAGCTTCCGCTGCTGCTGGCCCGCGCGCCGCACAGGGAAAGAGAGTGAAAGCGATGATAGGGGTTGAAGGGGAGCCGTGCGAATAGTAGTAGCTGACGTTGTTTGTAGGGACGTCATTGCTGCTGCTGATGTAATTGCTGCTGCTGACGTCATCGTTGGTGACGATGCCGCACGTGGGACGAGGCGGGAGATATGGGTGGAGGAAGATGCGGCGGGGATGGTAAGTGGCAGCAGTTTAGGGTAAAGGTTGGCGGGAGATGTGGCAGGAGTGCTGTAATAATAAAATTTCTGCGCCGTGGAAGTCGAAAAATAGTGGAAAAAGAAAATGTCAAATCAGGCAAACCCGTTTCAGCACCTTGAGGAAAAGAGTGTAATAGTTAGCAGCTACCTAGGTTCAAACAACTAACGAGATCCTTTCTAACGAAACGGTATGAGAGCAAGCTCCTGCTAACTTTGCTCCGAAAAGTGCTGCTCGACAGGTCGCCTGATGCGCGGAGTCGCTTATGTCGGTCTAGACTCTCGATTAGAGCAGCGAAAATCTAAACATTGCCACTCCCCTTTTCCACGCACATGTGCTGGGCGCGGAGGACCTCGCGGAAGATTTGGCGGAGGAAAGTTGTGGTTCCGGTCAGTGGATCTATAGTTGACGAAATTATCTCAATCTAACGAAAATTATTGAATGTCGCGAATTCGTGAAGGTTTGGGAGGTATCCAAATCTGATGCTTTCGGCAGTCCCGAAAACTTAAAATATAGGTTTTCCAGAAAGATCGCGGCGCTCGTAGGTGTCAAGGCTCCGATAGCCAATCAGGAGAAGACACAATCTCCCTCAAGGGTCTGGTGACTTCTAATTACAACTTTCTGAACACGCCTTGAAACCCACACGTCCCGCCTTGAACCAACGATCCATTCCCTTTCACCCATCGCACTCACAGCTTCACAGACTGATCGATATTCTGACATCGCATTTTCCCCTTTACTCCAGTCACTCTCACTGACATCTTTCAGCCTCGGCCATTCTCGTCCCGCGACGTTGCGAGATCGTTTCCTGCTCGCACCAGCTCCTGGTCTTACCAGGCTCCTGCTTTCCAATCTTTGAAGGCGCCTCGAGAATAGTTGCCAGTTTTGACAGGCTGCTGCTGCCTGCTCGTATCACCCTCCTCCAGTCTCACCGCCATCGCCGGCTCACCGTGCGATTCCTGTACGGTTCCTGTCGAGCGTTCGTCAAGCAGCGGACAACATGACGGGTTGATAGCAACCTCGATTCACTTACCTCTCAGCTCCGCTTTCGATTCACCACTAGATTCTTCAAACGCAATGCGAACTAGGGCCTCAGGGGGGATTGACACAGGGAATCCGCACGGTTACTATCAGCAAGTCGGCCGGCAGTGCGACACAAACCACAGTAGCCACCCAGAACTGCCACGTCCATAATTCCCCCACATCTAGTGATCCCACCGATCCTTGAGCTCGTTCGGGGCTCGTTCACGACAAGCAGTCCACCTTTCGGTCCCCGTAGCTGCATCATGCCTCGATTCTGAGCCGCATCTCACAAATCGGCGCCAGCAGCGCGTCTCGTCGCCATGTCGCGTAGATCCTCTCCGACATCCATCCCTACTACTATCTCACGCTAGTGCTTCTCGCGTCTCTGAAAATTTGCCCCACAAGCGCGTCTCGTCACCATGTCGCGCCGATTCCCCGCCGCATCCACCCGTACTGCTGTCTCCCGCCAGTGCTTCTCGCATCCCAGATTCCCCTCCCGGCGCCTCTCCACCCTTTCCTTCCCTCTGGTCGCAACCGCCAGATCAGCAGTCTCGCGTCTCACATCACTCGTTATAATAATCTCCGTTCTATCATCCTCGGCCCCTTTACAATTGAAGTTCTGGGCCTCACAAACCGCCTCTGAATTCCCTTCGTTTTGTCAATCGAATCCCCTCTCGTTATTATCACGTTCCATTGAGTCGTTAGCCAGCCGTGCCTATGGCGGGGGTTTTGGCGTTCGAGTGTTGGCGGAGGCGTGGCGGTTCAAGGAGAATCCACTTGAAATGGCGAAGCATCCGCGCATGGTTACCCTGTTCTCCGTGGAGTGCGGTCCCTACTTTGACTGGCAAACCGTGGGGCTCATGCACAGCTACAGGTGTGTGTGTGTGGAGGGCAGGTAGGAAGGGGTGGGGCTCATGCACAGCTACAGGTGTGTGTGTGTGGAGGGCAGGTAGGAAGGGGTGGGGCTCATGCACAGCTACAGGTAAGGGGGAGTGTGTGTGTGGGTGTGTGGGTGTGTGTGTGTGTGAGTGTGTGTGTGTGTGTGGGGGTGTGTGTGTGTGTGTGTGTGTGGGTGGATGTGTGTGTATGTGCATGTTGGGGGGAGAGGCGAGGGAGAAAGGAATGGGGCTCATGCACAGCTAAACGTGAGGGGGAGTGTGTGTGGGTGGGAGAATTTAGGACCCGAGGCCTCTGCATGTGTGTGTAAATGGAGAGGGGTTGTGGGGGTCTGTGTGTGTGTGAGTGAGGAGGAAGGAGTGGGGTTCATGCACTCGTGTGTGTAACGCATGTGCTGTGTCCCCCTGCCTGCTGTTTCCTTCCCCTTCTCCAGGCGCAGCAGGCAACCAGGCCCCATCACTCGCCTCCTGAGCTGCACGGAGGAGCAGCTAAAGGACTACCCCAACATGGACCTCGCTCCCACACACACCATCATCCCACGTGTTTGCACTCACCTGTCCAGTCTTATGTTGTGTCTGCCTCCTCTGCTGTTCTCCCTCGCCAGGCGCAGCAAGCAACCAGGACCCATCACTCGCCTGCTCAGCTGCACGGAGGAGCAGCTAAAGGAGTATCCCAACATGGACCTCGCTCCCACACACACCGTGCCATCCATGTCTCTCGACCCCAAGACTGGCGAGTGGTAGGGCCCTGAGTGCCATGTTGTGTTGCTGTGTGTGGCGTGGCTGTTAGCGTTATGCGCTGAACATCACAGTACAGCACAGCAGCGGAGGAGCAGCGGAGGGACTACCCCAACATGGACCTCGCTAGTTTTAAGGCGCCTCAAAACTAGACCCAACATGCACCTCGCTCCCACACACCCTCCATGTCTCTCGACCCCAAGACTGGCGAGTGGTATGTGTGTGTGGAGAGGTTGAGTGTTTTGTTCCTGTATGGCGGGACTGCTTGTGTTCTGCCTGTCTCATTCCGCACAGCAGCTGAGGCAGTACCCCAACATGCACCTCGCTCCCACACACACCGTGCCCTCAATGTCCCTCGACCCCAAGACCGGCGAGTGGTAGGCCTATATGTGTGGGGAGGTCGAGTGATTCTTGCCTGTATGGCGGGACTGCTTCGTCGTCCTAGAAACATTTTAAGTTGATGGACATAAGACCTCCGCAGCCCACCTGTTTGCTACTGACAGCGCCTATGTGTGTGGGGAGGTCGAGTGATTCTTGCCTGTATGGCGGGACTGCTTCGTCGTCCTAGAAACATTTTAAGTTGATGGACATAAGACCTCCGCAGCCCACCTGTTTGCTACTGACAGCGCCTATGTGTGTGGGGAGGTCGAGTGATTCTTGCCTGTATGGCGGGACTGCTTGTGTTCTGCTTCTCTCGCTCAGCACAGCAGCTGAGGGAATACCCGAACATGCACCTCGCTCGCTCCCACACACGCCGTGCCATCCATGACCGTCAACCCCATGCCCATGGCCTGCCAGACTCTTAACCCCAACATTGGCGAATGGTAGGCTGCTGCTGTACGTGCCCCTGTGGCTAGGGATATTTTTACTGTCTCTCTTTTCTTGCTAAAAGCATTCTCTAGCACCGCAACCATGGGTGACGATGCTGTGTGTGCCCCTGTGGCTATGTGTGCAGCACAGGTACCCAGCAATCAACAAGCCCTACGGGGTGTGGCACTGGGTGCAGCACAGCCCTTGCCTTCCCTCCCTCCCTCACTCGCCCTCCTCACACCCCTCTCTCTTACCTCCTTCACCCTCTGCAGGTATCCAGCAATCAACAAGCCCTACGGCGTGTGGCACTGGGTGCAGCACAGCCCGCAGGCACAGCAGGCGGAGTGGGTGGTCATTCTGGACGCTGACATGGTCATCAGGGCACCAGTCACACCATGGGGCGTCAAGGCAGAGAAGGGCAAACCAGTCGCCGCTTACTATGGGTAGGTGCGAGCGAGGAAAAATCACTGGTATGGGTAGCATTCAAGATGTGTGTTGAAGGAGCGGCAGGCGGAGTGGGTGGTCACTGGTCAGTGGTCATTCTGGACGCTGACATGGTCATCAGAGCGCCCGTCACCCCGTGGGGCGTCAAGGCGGAGAAGGGCAGGCCAGTGGCGGCTTATTACGGGTACGTCCGAGCATGAAAACCCCAGTGGTCTTGTTGGAGGCGAGAAAACTCTACAAGGTGTGTGTTGGGAAAGTGCACGCACAGCAGGCGGAGTGGGTGGTGATTCTCGACGCTGACATGGTCATCAGAGCACCCGTCACTCCGTGGGGCGTGAAAGCAGAGAAGGGCAAACCGGTTGCAGCCTACTACGGGTACGTTAGAGCATGAAAACCCCAGTGGTATTGTGTTGGGAAAGTGCAAGCACAGCAGGCGGAGTGGGTGGTGATTCTAGACGCTGACATGGTTATCAGAGCGCCTGTCACACCATGGGGCGTCAAGGCAGAGAAGGGCAAAGCAGTTGCCGCCTACTATGGGTATGTGTGGGTGCAATGCGGTGTGAGGCAGAGATGAAGAAGTGCAGCATGTAGCCTGACACGACTGTGTGTGCGTTTGAGTGCACTTGCAAGAGCAGCAGGCGGAGTGGGCGGTGACTCTGGACGCTGGCGTCCCACAGCACGGGTTATCAGAGCATCCGTCATCCCGTGGGACGTGTTTTGAGTCGACTCAAAACAAGAGCAGCAGGCGGAGTGGGTGGTGACTCTGGACGCTGGCGTCCCACAGCACGGGTTATCAGAGCATCCGTCATCCCGTGGGACGTGTTTTGAGTCGACTCAAAACAAGAGCAGCAGGCGGAGTGGGTGGTGACTCTGGACGCTGGCGTCCCACAGCACGGGTTATCAGAGCATCCGTCATCCCGTGGGACGTGTTTTGAGTCGACTCAAAACAAGAGCAGCAGGCGGAGTGGGTGGTGACTCTGGACGCTGGCGTCCCACAGCACGGGTTATCAGAGCATCCGTCATCCCGTGGGACGTGTTTTGAGTCGACTCAAAACAAGAGCAGCAGGCGGAGTGGGTGGTGACTCTGGACGCTGGCGTCCCACAGCACGGGTTATCAGAGCATCCGTCATCCCGTGGGACGTCTTTTGAGTCGACTCAAAACAAGAGCAGCAGGCGGAGTGGGTGGTGACTCTGGACGCTGGCGTCCCACAGCACGGGTTATCAGAGCATCCGTCATCCCGTGGGACGTGTTTTGAGTCGACTCAAAACAAGAGCAGCAGGCGGAGTGGGTGGTGACTCTGGACGCTGGCGTCCCACAGCACGGGTTATCAGAGCATCCGTCACCCCGTGGGACGTCAAGGCGGAGAGAGCCCTGGTGGCGGCGTTTTACGGGTATGTGCGAGCGAGAGAACATCAGTGAATGGTATGGGTATGGGTGACATGCAAGGTGTGTGTGTTGCACGAGCAGCAGGCGGAGTAGGTGGTGATTCTAGACGCTGACATGGTCATCAGGGCGCCCGTCACGCCGTGGGGCATCAAGGCGGAAAAGGGCAAGCTAGCAGCACTCTATTACGGGTGCGTCTACGGAAAGATTGTTGCTGCAACTTGATGTTGAGAGGGGTATGTATTGTATAGGAACAATCCCTCTCCGTGGGGTTTAGGCAACCCCACTGGTATGGATGGAGGCGAGAAAGCCTTACAAAGTGTGTGTTGTGTTTGGAAGGGCAGCAGGTGCCAGGTGGAGTGGGTGGTGATTCTAAACGCTGGCATGGTGTGGCGGTTCCCCCACCATCCCTCCCCTCCCGTCCCCTCCCCTCCTCCCAGCTATCTCATCGGTTGTGACAACATACTGGCCCAGCTGCACACGCAGCACCCCGAGCTGTGCCCCAAAGTGGGCGAATTCATCGTCATGCACATTGATGATCTGATTTCATATTCTACTCCTCCTCCTCCTCTCTATTCTCCCCTCTCCGTGTCACCTTCCCCGCCCCTCCTCTCTGTTTCCCCTTCCCCCAGCTACCTCATCGGCTGTGACAACATATTAGCCGAGCTGCACACCAAGCACCCCGAGCTGTGTCCCAAAGTTGGTGGCTTCATCCTCATGCTCATTGATGACCTGCTGTGGGGGTGTTCTAGCCGTTCCCTCTCTGTGTTTCCGCCCTCCACCCTGCCATCCCCCCAGCTACCTCATGGGCTGTGACAACATCCTGGCCCAGCTACACACCAAGCACCCGGAGCTCTGCCCCAAAGTGGGTGGATTCATCGCCATGCTCATTGATGACCGGTCGGGATGTTCCTGTCTCCCTTCTCTGCACTTCCACCCTCTCACCCCCCCAATCAATGTTTTCTGTTCCCCCCTCCTCCGTGTTCCCCCCTTCTATTCCTCTTCTGTCTTTTCCCTCTTCTGTCTTCTAACTTCGCCCAGCTATCTGATCGGTTGTGACAACATACTGGCCGAGCTGCACACCAAGCACCCCGAGCTGTGCCCCAAAGTCGGTGGTTTCATCGTCATGCACATTGACGATCTGCGCCGCTTCGCCCCGCTCTGGCTCAGCAAGACACAGGAGGTGTGTTCTGGTGGGGGAAAAGTTGCTAGTGTGATGGCAAGGCAAGGCACACATGGGATTGTCAACCGTCACTGGGTGGGTGAGTCCCAAAGTGGGTGGTTTCATCGTCATGCACATTGAAGACTTGTGCCGCTTCGCCCCGCTCTGGCTCAGCAAGACACAGGAGGTGCGTTCTGGGGGGAGGGAGGGGGCTTGTGTGATGGCAAGGCAAAGCAAGGTGAGATGTGATGGCATGGCAAAGCAAGGTGAGATGTGATGGCATGGCAAAGCAAGGTGAGATGTGATGGCAAGGCAAAGCAAGGTGAGATGTGATGGCATGGCAAAGCAAGGTGAGATGTGATGGCATGGCAAAGCAAGGTGAGATGTGATGGCAAGGCAAAGCAAGGTGAGATGTGATGGCATGGCAAAGCAAGGTGAGATGTGATGGCAAGGCAAAGCAAGGTGAGATGTGATGGCATGGCAAAGCAAGGTGAGATGTGATGGCATGGCAAGGCAAGGTGAGATGTGATGGCATGGCAAAGCAAGGTGAGATGTGATGGCAAGGCAAAGCAAGGTGAGATGTGATGGCATGGCAAAGCAAGGTGAGATGTGATGGCATGGCAAAGCAAGGTGAGATGTGATGGCATGGCATTGTCAACGAAGACTGACTGGGTGTGCCCCAAAGTGGGTGGATTGTGGATTCATGTTCATGCACATTGAAGACTTGCGCCGCTTCGCCCCGCTCTGGCTCAGCAAGACACAGGAGGTGCGTTGGTGCTGCTGATGTGATGGCAAGGCAAGGCAAGGCAAGGTGAGATCTGATGCACTTGAAGACCTGCGCCGCTTCGCCCCACTCTGGCTCAGCAAGACACAGGAGGTGCGTGATGGCACGGCATTGGCATGCCAGTCCTGACTGACTGGGTGTGTCCCAAATCGGATTGTGCTTGTGGTTGATTGTCATGCACAGTGATGATCAAGACACAGGAGGTGCACTCGCTCGTTGCTGTCAAGGTGAGTACAAGTGGCTGTGCGTTGATTCATTGTCATGCACTTTGTCTGGCTGACGTGTAGTAGTAGTCTTTTGAGACGTCTCAGAAACCTACTTACTACACTTGGCTGTGAGTTGATTCATTGTCATGCAGATTGTCGGGCTGACTTTTGCAAGTACAGTGTCTTCTCGTTCGCTTCTCCACTCCTTCTGTCACTCTCGTCCCCAGCAGGTGCGACCCGACAAGGCCAATTACGCACGGAACATTACAGGAGATGCGTACTCGTCAGGGTGACTTTCCAGGCGACTTAAGCGTGTCTCTGTTTCCTGGTTGCTTCTCCTCGGGTTCTGCCTCTCTCCTCCCTTTCAGGTGCATCACAGGAGACGTGTAATTGTCTCTCGAACGTCTCTCTTATCCCTATTTCCCTTTTCTCTTGTTTCACTTTCCCCCCTTTCAGGTGCGAGCAGACAAGGCACACTACGCGAGGAACATCACGGGAGACGTGTACTCCTCAGGGTGGATCAGCGAGATGTATGGCTACTCGTTTGGCGCTGCTGATGTGAGTGGCGCGTTGCTGTGCTGATGCTGATGCTATGATACCATGTGGTGCCAGCAGATAAGAAGTCATGTACTCGTCGGAGAGGATCAGTGAGATGTATGGCGACTCGTTCGGTGCTGCTGCTGTGAGTGCGTTTCATGGCATGGCATGGCATGGCATGGCTAGGGATGGTACCCTATGGTGGTAAGTGGAAGATGCAGAGTGGATCAGTGAGATGTGTGCCTTAATTGTTTGTGCTGCTGACGTGACATGAGTACACTCAAACGAGTAGCCCCATGCGCTGCTCCTCTCCCCTCACCCCCCACCCCCCACCCGCCCTCCTCCTTCCCTCATGCCTGCCCCCTCCTGCCAGGCGTGGACCCCGTCTGCTACACTACGGGAGCTTTGGCAAGTCGAGCTTCCATCCCTTTGCCTTGGATCTCCACCCTCCCCACCGGTCTCAACCCTTTTCCCACACCTCCCCACCCCTTCCCAACAGGCTGGGTTACACCATCAAGTGGACCAACAACCATGCTCTACCCAGGCTACACCCCAACGCCAGGCGTGGATCCCCGCTTGCTGCACTACGGGCTTGCCCTCCCCATCAGAAACTGGAGCTTTGGGAAGTCGATGCATCCACCCCCCCGCCTTTTATTTCCACCTATCCCAACCGGTCCCAATCGCTTCCTCTTCCCCATTCCCTCTGCAGGCCGGGTTGCAACATCAAGTGGACCAAACAACGATGCTCTATCCGGGCTACACCCCAACGCCAGGCGTGGACCCCCGCTTGCTGCACTACGGGCTCGCCTTCTCCGTGGGCAACTGGAGCTTCGGGAAGACGGGCTTCCATCACTCCGTCTTCGATTTCCACCCTCCTGACCGGTCTCAACCCTTTTCCCACAACTCCCCACCTCTTCCAACAGGCCGAGTTGCACCATCAAGTAGACCAAACCACCATGCTCTACCCAGGCTACACCCCAACGCCAGGCGTGGACCCGCGCTTGCTGCACTACGGGCTTGCCTTCTTCCCATTTCCCCCTGATCTATACCCTCCTCCCACTCCCATTGACAGGCCGAGTTACAACATCAAGTGGACCAGACGACCATGCTCTATCCGGGTTACACCCCAACGCCAGGCGTGGACCCGCGCCTGCTGCACTACGGGCTTGCCTTCTTCCCATTTCCCCCTGATCTATACCCTCCTCCCACTCCCATTGACAGGCCGAGTTACAACATCAAGTGGACCAGACGACCATGCTCTATCCGGGTTACACCCCAACGCCAGGCGTGGACCCGCGCCTGCTGCACTACGGGCTTGCCTTCTTCCCATTTCCCCCTGATCTATACCCTCCTCCCACTCCCATTGACAGGCCGAGTTACAACATCAAGTGGACCAGACGACCATGCTCTATCCGGGTTACACCCCAACGCCAGGCGTGGACCCGCGCCTGCTGCACTACGGGCTTGCCTTCTTCCCATTTCCCCCTGATCTATACCCTCCTCCCACTCCCATTGACAGGCCGAGTTACAACATCAAGTGGACCAGACGACCATGCTCTATCCGGGTTACACCCCAACGCCAGGCGTGGACCCGCGCCTGCTGCACTACGGGCTTGCCTTCTTCCCATTTCCCCCTGATCTATACCCTCCTCCCACTCCCATTGACAGGCCGAGTTACAACATCAAGTGGACCAGACGACCATGCTCTATCCGGGTTACACCCCAACGCCAGGCGTGGACCCGCGCCTGCTGCACTACGGGCTTGCCTTCTTCCCATTTCCCCCTGATCTATACCCTCCTCCCACTCCCATTGACAGGCCGAGTTACACCACCAGGTGGACCAGACGACCATGCTCTATCCGGGTTACACCCCAACGCCAGGCGTGGACCCGCGCCTGCTGCACTACGGGCTTGCCTTCTTCCCATTTCCCCCTGATCTATACCCTCCTCCCACTCCCATTGACAGGCCGAGTTACAACATCAAGTGGACCAGACGACCATGCTCTATCCGGGTTACACCCCAACGCCAGGCGTGGACCCGCGCCTGCTGCACTACGGGCTTGCCTTCTTCCCATTTCCCCCTGATCTATACCCTCCTCCCACTCCCATTGACAGGCCGAGTTACAACATCAAGTGGACCAGACGACCATGCTCTATCCGGGTTACACCCCAACGCCAGGCGTGGACCCGCGCCTGCTGCACTACGGGCTCGCCTTCTCCGTCGGCAACTGGAGCTTTGGCAAGTCGCAGCACCGGACGGATAAGATTGTGAATGAGTGCAACCGGCTGTTTGACCCTCCACCGTTCCCCTCTGAGGTGAGTTGTGGAGTGGTTCCAAATGCGTGAGATGGAGACATCAAGTGGGCAACTGGAGCTTCGGCAAGTCGCATCATCGCACGGATAAGATCGTCAATGAGTGCAACAGACTGTTCGATCCTCCTCCATTTGCTTCTGAGGTGAGACATTCAGTGGGGTCAGGCATTGAAGGTGCGTGAGAAGGGGAATCGAAGTCGGCAACTGGCAAGTCGCAGCACCGGACGGACAGGATTGTGAATGAGTGCAACCGGCTGTTTGATCCTCCGCCGTTCCCTTCTGAGGTGAGTGTTCAGAGGTGTTGAGTGCGGTGAGTGAGGCATGCAGTGGGTGGGATCAGTCGGCAAATGCACAGCTGGAGCTTTGGCAAGTCGCAGCATCTCACAGACATGATTGTGAACGAGTGCAACCGGCTATTCGATCCTCCTCCATTCTCTTCTGAGGTGAGACATTCAGTGGGGTGAGGTGCCAAGGATGCATGAGACGGACAATCCACGTGCACTCGTGGAGAAGCTTTGGGCAAGACACAGCACCGGACAGACAGGGTTGTGAGCGAGTGCAACCGGCTGTTCGGTCCTCCTCCGTTCCCTGAGTGAGGACCATGTTGTAATAAGCGTTTAGTGTCCTCTGCAGGGGGTTTTTGAGAATTCCCAAAAACGCCTTTCCCTGAACGAGTACCATGTTGTATATTAGCGTTTAGTGTCCTCTGCCCTGTCCCATTCAACTTCCCTGCCTTCCCCCCCTCCCCCCCCCCCCATTTTCTTTTGCTGAACCCCTCGTGTGTAGATCATAGAGCTTGACAAAGAGAAGAAGCGGGGCCTTCTATTGAGTATAGAGTGTGTCAACACATTGAACGAGGGTCTTATCATCCACCATGCCACCCACGGCTGCCCCAACCCAGCCCCCTCCCCCTACCGCTCCATGCTGCTGTGAGTGAGCTTCTCTCCCCTTATTCTGAGACCCCTGACCCTTTCAACTCTTCCCCTCATCACTCCTCCTCTTCCCTTTCCTCTCCTCTCTTCCTTCTCTCTCCCTCTCCTCTCTCCCTCATCACTCCCCCCTCTCCCCTTCCTCTCTCCCTCCTCTCCCTCTCATCTCTCCCCTTTATCACTCTCCCATCTCCCATTCCTCTCTCCATCCTCTCTCGCTCCTCTCCCTCTCCTCTCCTCTCTCTTCTCATCACTCCCCCCTCTCCCCTTCCTCTCTCCCTCCTCTCTCTCCCTCATCACTCCCCCCTCAGTCCAAGAAAGCAGTCACACCTGAACCCTTCCACCTCTGTCTTACGCCTCTCTCCAAATCATCTCCCCTTCGTCGCTCCTCCCTCTCCGCACACGCTCACGCGCGCGCACGTTGCTCCTCCCTCTCCCCTTCCTCTCCCCTCGTCGTTCCCCCTCCTTCCTAATTTTCCCACCCACCAGTGCAAGCATCCAGTCATCCCTGGAAAGGACCTGCCACATATTTCTGACGCCCCTCCCCCACTCCCCTCTACCCTTCGTTTCTCTCCCCCCGCCCACCAGTGCAAGCATCCAGTCATCCCTGGGCCCTGCTGCCTTTGGCCCCACTGTTTCTTCCCGGCCTGATGGGGGCATGCTCCGAGGGGAGGTGAGGGGAGCGGCTGAGAGAGGAGAATTAAGAGGGGCAGTAGGAGCATCTGGTGTTACCAGCACCAGCGTAGGGGGTGAGAGCAACAGCAGTGGCAGCAGCAGCAGCAGCAGCAGCAGCAGCGGTGGCGGCAGTGGCAGCAACAGCAGCAGCAGCAGTGATGGGAGTGCAGGCGGGGGAAGGTCAGGAGGCGTGAGGTTGGAAAGGAGAAGCATAGGATCAGAGAAGGGGGAGCTTGTTAAAGGGAATGGAAAAGGAGAGAGTGGGGAGAAGGAGAGTGGGACGAAAGGGACTGGGGTGGGTGAGAGTGGGATGGAAGGAGTACGGAGTGCAGGAGAGGGGGCAGGAGAGAGGGAGGAGGAGAGGATAGTGGAGCAGGTTGAAAAGGAGACTGGTGTGGGTTTCTGGGGCGACGATGGTGTTGATAGTAGTGATGGTGCTAATGGGGATGATGGTGGTGCTGTTGGTGGTGGCGGTGGTGGTGGTGCTGGTGGTGATGGTGATGGGAACAACAAGCAAGGACAAGTGAAGGCTGGGGGTCAAGCAGAGGGGCAAGCGCAAGGGGAGAGCAGCGAGCAGCAGAAAGCAGGCAGCAAAGGCAGTCACAGAAGCAGAGGCAGAGGCAGAGGCAAAGACGACAAGTCCCCTCCTCTTGCAGACACGACTGAGAAACTCCATAGGTGGATGGACAAGTGGAGAAAAAACACACTCTCCCTCCTCCCCTCCTCTTTCCAAGACGCTTCCCTCCTCCCAATCCTCGAACTCAACACTCCTCTTCCAGTTCCTCTCCCGCTGCCGAACCTGGGCCCGGACGTACCTGTTGATCCGGCTCGGGATCCGAACCTGTGGCAGCCTTTCCGCGTGAAGGGCACGCCGAGGCTGGTCACGCTTTTTTCGGTCGAGTGCACAGCGTATTTCGATTGGCAGACGCTCGGGCTGATGTATAGTTTTCGACGGAGCGGGCAGCCCGGAAAACTTGTGCGGCTGCTGGCTTGTAACGAGGACATGCTTAAGGAGTATAAGGGGCTGGACCTGGCACCAACTATGGTTGTACCGAATTGGGACCACGACCCCCATAATGGAGACTGGTAAGTGGGTTTGCAGTGGGCTTGCACCGAGTAAAGGGGCACCGAGGGGGTGCCCCCATAGGGAGTACAAGGGGCTGCACCTGGGGCCGACTATGGTGGTACCGAATTGGGACCATGATCCCCACAATGGAGACTGGTGCGTGTGCAATGTGCTTGGGGGGGTGGGATGGGACGGGGGGGAGGGGGATGGGGAAAGTGGGGGGGGTGGGGGATGGGGTGGGGGTGCCACCATAGGGAGTACAAGGGGCTGGACCTGGCTCCAACTATGGTGGTGCCGAATTGGGACCACGACCCCCACAGTGGAGACTGGTGCGTGTGAAATGTGCTTGGGGGGTGGGATGGGACGGGGGGGAGGGGGATGGGGAAAGTGGGGGGGGGTGGGGGATGGGGTGGGGGTGCCACCATAGGGAGTACAAGGGGCTGGACCTGGCTCCAACTATGGTGGTGCCGAATTGGGACCACGACCCCCACAGTGGAGACTGGTGCGTGTGCAATGTGCTTTGGGGGTGGGATGGGACGGGGGGGAGGGGGATGGGGAAAGTGGGGGGGGGTGGGGGATGGGGTGGGGGTGCCACCATAGGGAGTACAAGGGGCTGGACCTGGCTCCAACTATGGTGGTGCCGAATTGGGACCACGACCCCCACAGTGGAGACTGGTGCGTGTGCAATGTGCTTGGGGGGTGGGATGGGACGGGGGGGAGGGGGATGGGGAAAGTGGGGGGGGGTGGGGGATGGGGTGGGGGTGCCACCATAGGGAGTACAAGGGGCTGGACCTGGCTCCAACTATGGTGGTGCCGAATTGGGACCACGACCCCCACAGTGGAGACTGGTGCGTGTGCAATGTGCTTGGGGGGTGGGATGGGACGGGGGGGAGGGGGATGGGGAAAGTGGGGGGGGTGGGGGATGGGGTGGGGGTGCCACCATAGGGAGTACAAGGGGCTGGACCTGGCTCCAACTATGGTGGTGCCGAATTGGGACCACGACCCCCACAGTGGAGACTGGTGCGTGTGCAATGTGCTTGGGGGGTGGGATGGGACGGGGGGGAGGGGGATGGGGAAAGTGGGGGGGGTGGGGGATGGGGTGGGGGTTCACCTTAAGGAGTACAAGGGGCTGGACCTGCCACCGACTAGGGTGGTGCCGAACTGGGACCACGACCCTCACAACAGGGACTGGTAGGTGTGCATGTGCATTGTGCACTGCAGGGTTGCTTGGATTGTGGGCAAAGCGTGGCAAGGGGGGAAAGGGGTGGAAAGGGTGGCAGGGGTTTGCTGTCGTTATGAATATAAGGGGCTGGACCTGGCACCGACTATGGTGGTGCCGAACTGGGACCACGACCCTCATAACGGAGACTGGTGGGTGTGCGTGCAGTGGGCTTGGGCTTGCCGGGTGGGTGGGGAGGAGGGAGGGAGAGTGGGAGGTATCACCTTAAGGAGTATGAGGGGCAGGACCTGACTCTCCGACTACGGTGGTGCCCAATTGGGATCACGACCCCCACAACGGAGACTGGTGGGTGTGCAGAGGGCTTGGAAGGTGAGAGGGGGTGGAGGGAGGGGGGAAAGTGGGGGGTGGTCTCTCACCTTAAGGAGTATTGTGGTAGCCGAACAGGACCCCCACAATGGAGACTGGTGAGTGTGAAATGTTTGCCCAGTGGCTTGGGGGACACTTTTGAGAATCTGAAAAATGGGGCAAGAGGTTGGAAAGGGGGGTGATCCTTTCCCCACTCCCTTCTCCCCTTCCCTCCCCTACTCCTCCCCCACTTCCCTGCTCAGGTATTCCGCCATCTGCCCTGACTCCTCTTCACTCACTTCCTTCCCTGCTCAGGTATTCCGCCATCAATAAGCCTGTGGGCGTCAAGTACTGGCTCGACAACAGCCCCGATGCGCAACTGGTCGATTTTGTCCTCATCCTGGACGCGGATCAGATCCTCCGCCGCCCGATCCTTCCCTGGGAGCTTGGCGCCGAGCGAGGCCGCCCAGTTTCCGCCGACTATGGGTGAGTGAAGTGTGAGTGAGTGAGTGAGTGAGGGAGTAGTGCGTGGTCTTGAGATGAGAGTGAGTGAGTGTGAGGGAGTATGGGGCGGTCCAAGAGATGAGACGAGAGTGAGTGAGGGAGTGAGGAGAAGAGAGGGTTAGGGAGCGATTGAAGGAGCTAGGAGCTGGTCTAGGTTTTGAGAGAGATTGAGAGGGATTGAGAGGGCCTAGATTGTTGCTCCAGAAAGTGCGTTCGTGGGGGCCTGCCTCGCCATCGACACACATGGCCTTTCTTTCTTCTTTCCTCCTCTTCTCTTCGTCATGCATGCCTTGTAACAAAGCACATGTCTTCATGTCCATTGGTACTTTTCCGTCCTTCCTTCCCTACTTATTTTTTTAATCATGCTGTACCACCTCTACTCCATCATGCTGTACCATCTCTACTCCATCATGCTGTACCACCTCCACTCCATCATGCTGTACCACCTCCACTCCATCATGCTGTACCACCTCCACTCCATCATGCTGTACCACCTCCACTCCATCATGCTGTACCACCTCCACTCCATCATGCTGTACCACCTCCACTCCATCATGCTGTACCACCTCCACCCCATCATGCTGTACCACCTCCACTCCATCATGCTGTACCACCTCCACTCCATCATGCTGTACCACCTCCACTCCATCATGCTGTACCACCTCCACTCCATCATGCTGTACCACCTCCACCCAGGTACCTGATCGGCTGTGACAACATCCTGGGCTCGCTGCACATGAAGCACCCCAAGCACTGCGACAAGGTCGGAGGATACATCGCCATTCACGTGGAGGACTTGCGACTTTTGGCCCCGCGCTGGATCGCCAAGACCGAAGAGGTAGAAGGGGGTTGATGGGTTGAATCACCTATAAGGTTTGCACTCTTACCATCACCATCCACGTGGATGACCTGCGCCTGCTGGCCCCGCACTGGATCGCCAAGACAGAGGAGGTACGGGCGAGACGAGGGATATAGGCATGAGCATTTGGCCCGGTCGGGTCGGGTCGGCCTGACCCGACTCGGTAATTTGCTCGGGTCGGGTCAGGACCTTCGAAGTCCTGACCCGTCCGAGTCGAGTCGGGTCGGCTCGGTCGGGAAACCCGACCCGACTGCGAAACCGAGTCGGGTCGAGTCGGGCTTCGGGCCCTGCGTGACCCGATCCGTTTTCGGGTCAGGAAACAGGGTTACCTGACCCGACTCGGTTTCGGGCCCAGCTGAAACCCTAGTCGATCGTTGCCGAGGGGTCATTTTGTACCCCTCGACATCTCACTCGCCATTTCTGCAGAAACGCAAACCTAGACCTAAGAGTATTTTAAGGCCCAAGTAGCTGCCTTCACATAGATCGCGTGTCTCATCTCTTGTTTGCTTCTCACTTTCTCCCCTCCCAGGTGCAAGCGGACAAGGCACACTATGCCACCAACAACATCATTGCTCCTTCCTCCCCTCCTCCATCCCTCTCTCATCAGTGATGTATCCATCCCCCACCCCCTCCCCCCCTCCCAGGTGCGAGCAGACAAGGAGCACTACGCCACCAACATCACGGGCGACGTGTACGGGCAGGGGTGGATCAGCGAGATGTACGGGTACTCGTTCGGCGCCTCTGATGTGAGTTGATTACTAACCGTCTCAAAACATTCTAGCTGTGCGAGCAGACGTGAGGGGAAGAGAGCTTACCATGAAACCATCAGTGCCCCCCAGCCAACGTGTACAGGCAGGGAGATGTACGGCTACTCTTTCGGCGCCTCTGATGTGAGTCCATGGCATGGCATGGCGTAGCGTGGCATGGCATGGCGTAGCGTGGCATGGCATGGCGTAGCGTGGCATGGCATGGCGTAGCGTGGCATGGCATGGCGTAGCATGGCATGGCATGGTGTAGCATGGCATGGCATGGCGTAGCATGGCATGGCATGGCGTAGCATGGCATGGCATGGCGTAGCATGGCATGGCATGGCGTAGCATGGCATGGCATGGCGTACCATGGGATGGCATGGCGAGGGTGGTGCTAGGAGATACAGAGTGGTTCAGTGAGAGTTAAGGCTACTTCTTCTGGGCCTCTGATGTGGGTCGAGGCATGTTATGGCTAGGAATGGCTATGAATGGATAGAAGGTTCTGTGTGGTGCTGACAGATACAGTGGGGTTGGGCTTCTTTTCTATGGGTTCGGGGTCAAACGGCTTGCTTACTCATGGAATAAGTCCCTCTTCCAAGGCACCCCACTAGCCCTCACCTTCGGCCTCCATTTTCCCACTTTTCCACTCATCTCCCACCTCTCTCGCTCCGGTTATGCTTCTCCCTTTACTCCCCGCGTCCCCAATCCTCGGGCCAATCTGCACCACGTGGTGATAGACAGCAGAATGCTCTACCCAGGCTATCCCCCTCCCTGTCCTCCTCTACTCTCTGATGTCTTCCCCCCTCTCCTTCTTTCTCCTCCCATCACAGACCAATCTACACCACGTGGTGATAGACAGCATAATGCTCTACCCAGGCTATCCCCCTCCCTGTCCTCCTCTGCTCTCTGATCTCTTCTCCCCACTCTCCTCCCTTATCCTCCCTCCTCAGGCAAATCTACACCACGTGGTTATCGATAACATAATGCTCTACCCAGGCTATGCCCCCGTGCCCAACGTGGACCCGCGTCTCTTCCACTACGGCCTCGAGGTTAAAGTTCTGAATTACTCCTGGGACAAGTCCCGCTTCCGAGACACCCCCCTAGCCCTCACCTGCGGCTTCCATTTCCCCGATCCTCCAGATGTTACGGACTTGCCCCCGTTACCTGCTGTCGATTCTGGTGCTGCTGCTGCTGCCGCTGGTGGTAAGCGTGGTATAGGCGGTTTATTCGCGGGGCTTAGGGGCGGAGGAGGAGGGGAGGAGGAGAGGGAGAAGAAGCTGAGGGAAATACTAGAGGAGCGGAGGAAAGATTTCATTGTGATTGAGTGTGTTGCGGTGCTGAATCGGGCTTTAAGGGAGTATCATCAGCTGAAGCTTGGGTGCCCTGTGTCTGGCGAGAAAGACATGGGCGTTATGGATCTTACTGGAGCTTCTTATATCGAGGATGGAAGTGGGGGAGGGGGTGTGCGTGAGCTTCGAGCAGATGTGTGGGCGAGAGTGAGGAATGGGGGAGGAGGGATGGAGGTGGAGGAGGAGGGGAGGATGAGGAGGAGTGAGGAGGGGAATGGAGATGTGGAGAGAGTGGGCAGGTTTGTGATAGAGAGTGTGGAAGTGAGGGAGAGGGGAGGGTTGGAGCGAGGTCTTGTTGTTGGGGTAGAGATGGCAGAAGGGGAGAGGGAGAGGATGGAGGAGAGGATGAGGGAGGAGGGAGAGGGAGGGGAGGGTGAGGAGCTGGAGCAAGGGTCGACTTCGGGGTTGGGAGGGGAGGGAGGAGATATAGGAGGGGTTGGAGAGGGTGGGGTAGGCGAGGAGCAGGGGCAGAACGGGCAAAGGAACAAAGAAAGGCATGAGCAACAGGAACAGCAGCAGGAGCACCAGCAAGGAGAGGGGCAGTTGAAAGGGGAAGTAAACCGGAAAGGCAAGTTGGCTGGAGAGCAGCAAGGAGGTTCCAGGTTAGAGGAGGCAAATACATTCAAAAGCAGTGTCAGTGGTATCAGAGCACAAAGCGGCAAAATCAAACAAATTCGAGGGTTCTTACGTGGCAGGCGATCATTGGTCGGAGGAGATCTCAGCTCTGCAGGTGACAGAGCAGCTGGTGGAGGGGGGGAGGAAGCAGAAGGTGGGGTGGATTGGGTGCTGTGGCTGAAGCGGTATAAGAGATGGCTTGCTGCTCCGTGGGTGCTGGCTGCTGTGATGCTGCTACTGGTGGTGACCAGGAGGCGGCAGAGGAAGCGGAGGGAGGGGAGGGAGATGAGAGAAGCGCGGCGGGAGAGAAGGGCGAGGAAGAAGCGATCGGAGAAGATCCCTAAGGATGCGACGGACTAGCATGCTGGGATGAGGACGTGTGAGACTGTTACTTGTACCAGTTTGTTGCTTGCACTGTGGTTCTAGTATGCTGTAAACACTGGGTTATTGTATAGGAACGATCTTGCTGATGTGTTGAGAGTGTTATTGATCTTGGCATGATGCTCAAAGTAAGAGAGAAAACACCACCTGTATTGTGTGGGACAATGAAATGGTGCAAAATCAGCTATAAAATCAGTGTAGTAGGAGTAACACTGCGGTAAATTCTTATGAAGTCGTTATCAGCTCATCTCTCTATAGCAATGAACATGCTGGAGTGCTGTATTTGATATAATCTGCTCATGTAGTATAACAGGTGTACTTATGAAAAGCAGGCTATCTAGGAGTTGTTCACACTTCAGGTGTCTGACTGAACGAGTTCCTCTAATCGAAAGACTAAGGTACAGTTCAGGGTGAGAGCACTCACTCACATCCTGAGCATAAAAGCCTTCTACTGGTTCTGCCTCCGTATGATCCCTTTCGTCCGAGTCTACACTTGGAAACGCGGCTTACCCGACCCGTCAGGCTCCGACACCCACGCTGTGGCTGGCGTGGTAGGTAATGGTGGTTGGTTTCAGAGTCCACGTCTTGGTTTTCCATATTCTAGGTCATGTTGGCTTGGTGACCTGTGACCAAAATGTCGACTGTATGAACCGGTCGAAAATCCTATATATGCTCTTGTGACCATACCAAGCCGCTTGTGATTCAATGTAAAGTGGAACCTTGAAAATACCGAATCCCCAACCTGATTCTGGTTTGTGCAAACTTCCCAACCTCAATACCTCAACTAACCGTTCTGGTTTGCTATATGAAAGCAGTAGAACGTAAAGCATCTCACTACGCCGCATTCAAACGTTGCCAGCAGCAGCTGGCTGTAGAAGGTTCTGGTTCTGCTGGAACTTGGGAAATCAAGCATAGCTCACTGCATTTGGGTTCTGGTTGCGACTTTCTTCTTGCGCACACGGATACTGCGGAATTGTGTTCGTCGTTGCGAGTTTCTGCTACTGGGAAACCTAATTGTCGGTGACTTCATCCTTGGATACACCGTGGTTCGCAAATGGCAGAAATTACCCCGTGCTAGCAGGATCGCGTGGTTCTCTTATTCATCACCGTCCATACATCAGGTAGCCATTGTTTTATATTTTGTCAGTTTTGTTCAACTACTTCCCTTTCTGTCTGAGAGCAATCGTGGCTGACGGGATGTTTCTCCTGTGCTTTCTTGTTCCCCTTTGTGAGACCCCTTCTTCACAAACACTATACCAACATGCCGGACATTAATGGTCTCGCTGCTCTCCTGTCGCCGGACATCATCATCTTAGGCTTCTACCGTGCAGCTGTCTCCGCGCATCGCGACGAGCAGCAGATCGTTCCAGATTTTACCAGTCCGCGTTTCAAGGCGTCTCGAAGCACTAGAATTGGGTCTAACTTCACCGCTCCGTCATGGACAAGAAGAAATTCCTCGAGATGGTTAAGAAGAAGAAGGAGCGCGCGGAGATGCGGAGCGGTGGGATGAGCAGCGAATGGGCGAAAAAGCTGGAGCAGGTGGCCATGCAGGCCGCTGACGAGGACGCGAAGAAACGGGAGAAGGAGAAGAAACGGCGAAAGAAGAAGGAGAAGAAGAGTCGGAAAAGCCGTTCGCGAAGAGAGGATTCTTCGGATTCGTCGGATTCGTCTTCGCATGATGAAGATTTGCGTTCGTCCGACTTGGAATCTAGTTATGATAGCTCGTCGGAGTCGGAGCGGGAGGAGAGGAGACGGAGGAGAAAGAAGCGGCGCGGGAAGAAGCAGAGGAGAGAGCGGAGGAGCGAGTCGGAGAGCGAGGAGGAACGGGAAGGGAGGGAGAAGGAGCGGAGGAGCAGGAAGCGACGGAAGAGAAGAGCGTCAGACTCTGATATTGACGCTGATGCTGGCAGGTACGTGTTTGGTTTTGATGCTTTTGCTTTTGTTTTTGTTTTTGTTTCCAATTTGAAGCTGATGGGTATGTCGGGGGGGTATATTTAACGACACTTCCTTGTTAGCAGGTACGTTCTAGTTGACGTTCAGTTGGTTCCTTGCTGCAAAGGTGTCGAGAAACAAAAGCAGTTGTTTTGCATCTACACATTGTTCTATGAACCATTCATCTGTGACAGCAGTGAATAGCTCTAGGGTTCACTAACCTGTTGCCATCAATCGTGTGCTTTTCTCACACGGCACTGATGTGTATCTGGGTTTCTTGGCAGTGATGGTGATGGTGATGCTGGCAAGAGGAAGCGCAAAGCTCGCTTGACCTCCCGAGATGGCCACAGCTCAGGTGATGATGATGACGATAAACGGGAGAGGAGCAGAAAGAAGGAGAAAGGACGGAGCAGGAGCAGGGATCGCAGTCGCAGCAGGTCGAGTGACGACGACCACAAGAAGAAGCGTACGCACAAGAGCAAGAGCAAGAGCCGGAGCCGCACCCCTGATGTGCTTGCTCACAGGCGCAAAGGTGCCAAGAGCAGGAGTCGAACCCCTGACCTGAAGGGAATACAGGAGGAGCGTGAGCGTGAGCGTAGCATGCGCAGGGCCAAGAGCAAGAGTCGCACCCCGGAGATTGAAAGGGTTGGTTCTGAGGCTCATGAGAAAATCGGTTCTGGGTATGAGGGTGGGATGGGAGAGGCTGAAGGAGCGGGGTGTGTTGGTGGTGGGGTTGGAGAGGGAGGAAAGGGGGGCATGGGAGAGAAGGGAGGAATGGGAGAAAATGGAGGATTGGGAGATAAGGTGGGAATGGGAGATAAGGGAGGAATGGGAGAAGAGGAAGATAAGGGAGAGAATGGAGGAATGGGAGAAGAGGAAGATAAGGGAGAGAATGGAGGAATGGGAGAAGAGGGGGATAAGGGAGAAAAACGATTCGAACAGGGTGGTGAGCGTGGGGTGGCACTTGAGAGTGGGAATGGACATGAGGAGAATGAGCGTGAAAAAGTGGAACTGGAGGGTGGAGGTTGCGAGCAGGGAGACGCTGTGGGAGAGGGAAAGGTGGAAGTGGGGAATGAAGAGGGAAAGGTGGGTGATGGAGAGGGAAATGGGGTTGAGGGAGAAGGAGCGGCAGGTGAGGGAGTGGGAAGAGGGGACGAGGGAAAGGCTGAAGGGGGAGAGGGAGGGGGTATTGCTGATAAGCCTGAGGCCTGAGGCAGGGTGGGTGTTATACAACGTGGGGTTAGTTTTTTATGCACTTGGTTTAGGGTGTGTGGAATGGTGGAGAGAATAAACCTAGAGTGACTTCATGTGGGCAGAAGACAGGATCTGGTGATCAGCATGAAGTGGCATACAGCAGGTATAATTCATTACTGATTGCAGGGCAAGCTGTGTCTTGTTATTATTGGGAGGACCACTTCAGGAGTTGATAGCACAGGAGAAAGTGCATCTGGTCTGGTTGGGCAACTGCATTAGTTTGTGCGTTGCATATGATTCTTCTAACTACACCACCTGATGTGACATTCAGGCTTCACTCTTGCTGAGTTTCTAAGGCGTTTGAATTGAGACGCTTTTCTACTCCTGCGGATCAAGCAGGGGAAAAATGGTTTCTGGGTTCTGTACAAATTTGCGTGCACCCGCATGCACTACCACAACTGGGTTGCGGTACAGCGAGGATTAATAGCTTAGGTTGCATTCCCCGTCGGGACACCATCCGAAGTCGGGACACGCGGTCCGAAATTTCCAAAAATGACATGTCAATGTTCAGCCACGCGGTTCGAGTTAGGGACACGTTGGGACCTGACGGTTTAGTGTACGTGCGACCAATTGCACGTCAAGCATCCTGCTCTGCGATCGTGGAAAAAAGGGCGTTGCAATGCATTCGGGCTGACTTGGCACAAACGTGCAAGGCAGCCGGCTACATGTAAATGGCTGCCCACGTTTCAATCTGGTGCCCCCAAGTCAAATCGGGTACCCCCAAGTAAAAAATTGGCTCCCCTCTTTTATTTTTTTACAGTGCCCGACAGGCAGGTTCTGCCGTTATATTTGGCGCCCATTATGTTGTCGCATCTCGTCGTTTTATGACATCTCTACACCCCCATTGGTTGGTGACCCCCCCTGAAATCGCAACAGGCAGACCCCGATCGCATCCAAAACACTGACAAATGTCAGAGGTGGGGCCCTGCCCCAACCGGGACACCATCCGCGCGCCAAAACCGTTCGGATGGGCAAACTTCGGATGGTGTCCCGACGGGGAATACAATCTTATTCTCAAACCGCCAACAGCTCGTTTTGTTGTGGCACGCTACCTATGCTTCCTTGCTCCACCCCTACGAGCTTACCCTGGCCGATTCAAGGAAGTGACTATTAAGCGGTCAACCGAGTTCCTATACTAGATCCCTTCGTCGAAGTAGCCGCCTTTCGTAGCTAATCCAACTGCATCCATGGCCACGTTGCTTTTAGAAAGCCTCGACGCGCAGGAGCGGCGCGAGTGGCGGCGGTCGGCGGCGGCGGAAGCCGAGGCGCAGGTGGACGCGCTGCCGTACCTAGACAAGGAGTACGAGGACCCTGCGGTGCGCGCGGAGGTTAACCGCCTCGTGCAGGAGGAGATGCGCCGCAGCCCGCGCACGCCCGCGGATATCCTCGCGGAGCTTCCGCCGGTGCCGGAATTGCGGAGCGAGGTAAGGCACAGCACAAGTTAAAATTCCGCCAATGTCGGTGCTGAGAAGTGAGGTAGTTGTAACCGCACGGATTGTTGTACTTGTAACAGTTTTCAACTGAGCTGGTAACCCGAAGGGGAGGGAGGGCTAGTTGCGCAGTGAAAGATGCGCTACGGCAGCCCGCGCAAGCGCCCGCGCCCGCGCACTCCCGCGGATATATCTTGGAGCCTTCACAGTACCGGAGTTGCATGGTGAGGTGCGGTAACTTTAACCCTAGAGTGAGGGCGGGTTGGCCCCCAACCCTAGCAGTGGACACGGGGCGCTATGAGGGCGGGGGAAAGGGCATGCTTATCGCTCTCTCCTTTTCAACCCCATGTGTTTCTCCCATTCCCCCCCTAACTCCCTCCCACCCCAACCACTATCCAGCTGCTCCCCATGTTTGCTCGGGAGTGCGAAAGAGTGAGGGCGGGTCGCTCCCCAACCCTAGCAGTGGACACGGGGCACTACGAGTGCGTGGGGAAGGGGCATGCTTATCGTTCTCTCCTCTCTCATCCCCATGTCCCTCCCGCCCCTCCCACCCCTCTTTCTTCCCAGCTCCTCCCCATCTTCGCCCGGGAGTGCGAGAGGGTGAGGGCGGGCCGCCCCCCAACCCTAGCGGTGGACACGGGGCGCTATAAGGGCGCGGGGAAGGAACCAGGCGGGCATGCTTGTCATTCGCTCTTCCCCTCCCACCCCTCCCACCCCTCCCTCCTCCCCAGCTGCTCCCCATGTTCGCCCGGGAGTGTGAAAGAGTGAGAGCGGGTCGACCCCTAACCCTAGCAGTGGACACAGGGCGGTATGACGGCGCAGGGAAGGGGCCGGCAGGGCGAGGGGCTGAGAACATGCCTCTTATTTTCCCCCTCGTGTTTCCCTCCCACTCCCCCCTTCCTCGTCCTCCCTTACCCCTCCTCCCTCCTCCCCAGCTGCTCCCCATGTTTGCTCGGGAGTGTGAGAGAGTTAGAGCCGGTCGGCCCCCAACCCTAGCAGTGGACACGGGGCGATATGAGGGAGCGGGGAAGGGGCCGGCAGGGCGGGGGGCGGAGGACCCAAACGCATGGAAGGGGGCGGTTAAGGCGGCGATGGTTCAGCTGCAACACCAGGACACACGGTGAGGGGATAGGGAATGGGGAAAAGGTGGAGAGTGGGTGGTGGTGGTATGAGGGCGCGGGGAAGGGGCCGGCAGGGCGGGCTGCGGAGGACCCAAACGCATGGAAGGGGGCGGTGAAGGCGGCGATGGTTCAGCTGCAACACCAGGATACCCGGTGAGAGAGAGGAGGGGAAGGAGGGGAGGTGAGGTGAGGAGAAGGGGACGATGGGAGGAGAGGAGAGGGGAGGGAAGTGGAGGAGAGGAGGGAGGAAGGGAGAAGAGGGGACAGGAAGGAATGTTGCCTGTGTGCTGCTGTGATTTCATGCTTGCAGGCTCGAAATCTTAGATCTGGAACTTCCCTTGATGTGTGCGGCCATGGACCATGGTCACTCACTCCTTCCTTCCATACACCCTGCACGTGTGCACCCATGCTCGCTTCCATGCACGCAGGCATGAGAATCTCGATCTGATGCTTCGCTTTGGCCCCAACGCATGGAAAGTGCACAACCAGCATCTCGAGGCCTTTCTAGCCAAGTGAGTCTGATGAGAATCGGCAAGTGAGTCCGAGTGGGTGAGACTGATCAAGTGACTCAAGTGATACAAGCAACGCATGGAAAGTGCACAACCAGCATCTCGAGGCCTTCCTAGCCAAGTGAATCCGAGTAAAAGTCGTTCAGGTGCCATGGAATCGAGGTCTCGAGATGAAGGGCATGAATCGATGTCATGTCCCGAAATAAAGTTGACTTTTGAGTCGACTCAATAGTCAACTCGAAATAAAGGGCACAGCCTGCAACTCGAGGCCTCCTTATATAAGTGACCCCCCCCCCTACCCCCCCCCGCCCCCCCCATCCCCCCTCCTCCTCCCCCCCCCCCCCCCCCCCCCCCCCCCCCTCTCCCCCCCTCTTTTCATGTAATTTCCGTCGATTCTCGAATTGAGAAGCAGCAGCTCATCTGGTGCACACGTTTCCCATTGTTTTTCATGAATTTTCATTGATTTTGGGTTACAAGATTAGCTAATTCTTTGCGCCCATAACTGGCATGCCCCCCAAGCAGAGCACAAAGGGAGGTGGCAGAGAGGAAGCGGGAGATTGAGCTGCTCAACAGAGACAGGCGGCTGAACCAGGTGCGGTGGGATGAGGGTTGAGTGGAAGGAGAAGGGATGGCAGAGGCAGGTATGTCACACGTACCCTAGTGATACTTCGGAATGTCGCATATACCTTAGGAATTATTAGAATCGTCGCGCGTGGTGGGGGTGGCATGACGTTCTAACTCCGCGCTGGTATTCGGTATTGGATACCACTGGTAAAAGAAATGGGAAGGCTGGAACTGCACTCCATACAGCTTCACAATGATTGAATGCTTGGAGTTAGTACACTAGCACGCTTACACGCCACGTCACACCATCGCCCACGCTCATTGTACTATGGTGTGAGAACGGTGAGCGTGGGCGATGGTGTGACGTGGCGTGCAACCTTGCTAGCATACTAACTCCACCACGCGTGACGATTCTAATAATTTCTAAGGTACGTGCGACATTCCCAACTATTTATCGTCTGCAGCAAGCAGCAGCGGTGGAGCTGGCGCGGCTGGAGCAGGCGTGGAGGGAGGGCGTGTAGAAGAATTGAAGCATGCTGAACCAGCAACACAACACACCCTCTTCTCCTGCTCCACTTCCCCTTCTCCACCCACCTCTGCAGCAAGCAGCAGCGGTGGAGCTGGGGCGGCTGGAGCAGGCGTGGAGGGGGGGCGTGTAGAAGAATAGAAGCATGCTGAACCAGCAACACAACACACCCTCTTCTCCTGCTCCACTTCCCCTTCTCCACCCACCTCTGCAGCAAGCAGCAGCGGTGGAGCTGGGGCGGCTGGAGCAGGCGTGGAGGGAGGGCGTGTAGAAGAATAGAAGCATGCTGAACCAGCAACACAACACACCCTCTTCTCCTGCTCCACTTCCCCTTCTCCACCCACCTCTGCAGCAAGCAGCAGCGGTGGAGCTGGGGCGGCTGGAGCAGGCGTGGAGGGGGGGCGTGTAGAAGAATAGAAGCATGCTGAACCAGCAACACAACACACCCTCTTCTCCTGCTCCACTTCCCCTTCTCCACCCACCTCTGCAGCAAGCAGCAGCGGTGGAGCTGGGGCGGCTGGAGCAGGCGTGGAGGGAGGGCGTGTAGAAGAATAGAAGCATGCTGAACCAGCAACACAACACACCCTCTTCTCCTGCTCCACTTCCCCTTCTCCACCCACCTCTGCAGCAAGCAGCAGCGATGGAGCTGGGGCGGCTGGAGCAGGCGTGGAGGGAGGGCGTGTAGAAGAATAGAAGCATGCTGAACCAGCAACACAACACACCCTCTTCTCCTGCTCCACTTCCCCTTCTCCACCCACCTCTGCAGCAAGCAGCAGCGGTGGAGCTGGGGCGGCTGGAGCAGGCGTGGAGGGAGGGCGTGTAGAAGAATAGAAGCATGCTGAACCAGCAACACAACACACCCTCTTCTCCTGCTCCACTTCCCCTTCTCCACCCACCTCTGCAGCAAGCAGCAGCGGTGGAGCTGGGGCGGCTGGAGCAGACGTGGAGGGAGGGTGTGCGGAAAGACGCTTCTTGGTTTCCCTTACCCCTTTCTTCCTGCTCCCCTCCAATGATTCACTATCGCAGCAAGCAGCAGCGGTGGAGTTGGGGCGGCTGGAGCAGACGTGGAGGGAGGGCGTGCAGAAGAATGCGGATATCCAGGCGGCATGTGCGCAGCTGGAGGCGCAGATTGAAGGATTGAAGACAGAGGCGCAAGCGCTGTGAGTTCAGGGTGGGGTTCAGGGTTTATGATGGGTGGGTGGGAGTATGCTGAGGAACTGGCCGTGCAGAAGAATGCGGATATCCAGGCGGCATATGCGCAGCTGGAGGCGCAGATTGAGGGGCTCAAGGCAGAGGCGCAAGCACTGTGAGTGTTTCGGCTGGGTGGATGGGTGGGAGTATGCTGAGGAGCTGGGCGTGCAGAAGAACGCGGATATTCAAGCAGCGTGTGCTCAGCTGGAGGCGCAGATTGAGGGATTGAAGGCAGAGGCGCGAGCACTGTAAGTCGAGGTTTCCGGGGTTCAGGGTTAGGGTTTGGGGTGGGACGGGCATCCAAGCCTCATGCGCTCAGCTGGAGGCGCAGATTGAGGGGCTCAAGGCAGAGGCGCAAGCACTGTCAGTTGAGGGCTTAGGGTTCAGGGTTTAGGGTGGGAAAGTACCTACTCAAGTGGGAGGGATATCCAGGCGGCGTGTGCTCAGCTGGATGCACAGATTGAGAGGCTGAAGGCAGAGTTGCGAGTTGAGGGCTTAGGGTGTAGGGCTGAAGGTTTGAGTTCGGTGTTCAGGGGTAGTGTGGGAAACATCTTGGCAGCATGCGCTCAGGAGGCGCAGATTGAGGGGCTCAAGGCAGAGAGTTGTGAGCACTGCGAGTTCAGGATTCAGGGGTTTAGGGTTCAGGATGGGCTTTGGTTTAGGGTGCGAATATGCCTAGTCTAGTGGGAGGGATATGCAGGAGGCATGTGCGCAGCCAGTATGTGCATAACTGAAAGCACAAAAAAGGGGAGGGAGGGAGGGGGGGGTGGGTGGGGAGGGTTGGTGTTTGAAGGGGAAAACTCAAGCAGTGTGAGTGTGTTTCGCGGGTGGAAACATATTTGGTTCAGTGGGCGGATGTGTCTAGGTGGCATGTGTTTCAAGGCACAAGCCCGCGCGGTGTGAGTGTCTGTGGGGATACAATAAATTGCTCAGTTGAGTGGGTGTACAAAAGAGAGCCTGAACATGCGTGCGGGCGGTGTGGGGGCGGCTAGGAATGAAAGGGATTAGCAGGCGTTGTAATGCTAATTGGTGACAAGCTATCACTGCAAGTTTTTCTATGGCTACATTAGCATCTGTCTATCCATTTTTTTGGCTGCTTCATATGCCGGTATGAAAGTGTCTCTTTGTGTGTTCAATGTCGTTCTCTTTTTGCACAGGGGTGTTGTCACGGATAATTCGATGCAAGAAGATTGAGCCTGGTTATCGTAATAAACAGGCAAGCATGGCTTTGATTAGGAGGGCTGGAAATACTTGTAGGGCTGGCAAGTATTATCGTACAAGTCGTCATCACCTAACGCGCGAGGTTCTATCGAGACTCAATTCAATCACCAGAATCACTGTGCTTCCATGTTGACACTGTCGTCCTTTTCTTCAGCTTGGGGAGTACCCCAACAAGCCGAAACCAGACCAATGAAAGTTTGTTCGAGACCGGAGCAGTCGAAAACAAAAAACGTTTTCCGAGAACCTGATGAAAACACCTTCCATTTCCACTTCCCGTGCTTTTTTAGCTTTCCTTTTCTGCCGGCGGTCAGCACCTGGGTTGATGTTTCGTGGACTCAACTAGATTTCTTGGCTCGGCTCAGCTGCACACTGTGGGCTCTTGCCGAACCAGGCCCACACGTGATTCCCGACCAGGGCTGTCGTTTCGTTTTGGGCCCCCCGGACAAATCAGGGGGCCCGGCATGTACGACCCTGTATTTAGCAGGGTCGGGGCGAATCTCGGCCCTTTAGGCTTCAGGGCTGAAAACATTTCCTCCCTGTAAATCAGGTTTGGCGCGGAAAATTCTGCAGCCTCATTTCTACCACAAAGGTAACAGCTGCACTCTGCAAGTATTACAATAAGCAAAGACTACATAAAAAACTAGTTAGCGTCATTCACTACGCACGCTTAACAGACTTCCTCCTCTTCCAACTCTTAGCAAAGATCTGAGATGTGTTTTGCTGCTGCTATGCCGAATCATGCCTGCTGTTGCACTGCACGACTGGGATCTGAGATGTGTTTTGCTGCTGCATGCTGATTCATGCTTTTGTCTGTGTGTCATGGGATGGGAGCGAGGTTATGATGGCGCAAGTACCAGTTGTAGGTTGAGTTGAATCTGTGGCCCAGCCACGCAACTCCAAATTTGCCAGGTTTGAATGCAATCAAGATAGAAACGGGGGAGGGGGAATGGAGGAGTTTGGGGGGGGGGGGGGGGGGGGAGGGGGGGAAGGGGTGGGAGGGGAGGCTCGAAAGATTTTGTTCCAGGGCTCGCCTAAAATCTACCTTTATACTCCAGGCCTAAGCCCGAAATCAGCCCTGTAAGGAATCAGGGCCAAAAGTTTTTCAACCCATCAATGTCAGTTTTCAAGGGCAACCCAGCCCTGGAATTCAAGGTCCAGCAGGGCAAACGCCCTGCAAGAGACAGGCCTGTTCCCGACCAAAGCAATCTCGAAGTTGACGAGCGGAGGCTAGAATCATCACACCACAGACCACCTGACAGAATCCACGACTCGGTGACAACAGCAATTGACAATCTGCTCGGCTGCCCGCTGCCCGCATCCTCGACTAGTGGTCCCACCACGACCCCAGAAACTTTACTACGAGGTTAGAGATGAATGGTCTGTCCTTCGCCGTACCGGATAGGAAGTAGGGAGCTGAAGAAATATTGCTGACGCGACTTTTATCGAGCCGGGCACACGGTGTTCATTCCTGAAACATGACGGGTGGTTTGCCAATCAAGTGCGGAGGATCTTCTGTCCCAAAACTCCAACCTTCACCTCCATCCCCCTCCCCCAAGATTTCGTTGGTAATGTGCGCGTCAATGTCTAGAAAGGCGTTTAGCGGTTCAAAGCGGTGGTGAGACTATCGGACTGCTCTGAAATTCACAGCAGCATATTCAACTGTTTTTCACCAGGCAGAGTGAACTTACTCCAGTAACACATCCTTATTATGGCCATTTAGTAGTGCATACTAATACTAAGGTGTGATGTGGTGAGTGGCATCTCCCATTGCCTATTATGCAAGACAACGTATCTCTCTCCTTTCTGTACAAAGTGCAAAAGGCATAGTTATGGCGACAACAGTCGGGAGTAATGGCGGCAGCGGCAGCGGGAGCCCGAATCACGGCAACGGCCAAACCAGCGAAGGTGTTGGGATCATCAAGGGCGACGCGAAGAGTCACAGTGTTATTGGCCTGCGTCGTTTCTTGTCGTCTAGCAAGCATGCGCTACACTCAGTATTCGACCATCATCATGACCGGCGAACCCGCTCCGATAAAGAACGACCCGATAAAGGAGGCCAGCCCGAAGGCCGGGCGAGCCAGACCCGAGCCTCTTTCACGGCGTCATTTTCGGGCTCGGCGAATATGTCGATAGAGGATATTGCGCTACCGGCGAGCGCGCTTCGCGGCTCGGAAGAGCAGGCGAACGCGATGCGGCGACAGCTGGAGCGACAGGCTAACGCGTATCGGCTCAGTTCGGCGAGTAACAGTTTGTCCTCGATAGAAGGCGCAGGCCGGCCTGATAACGGGGCGGCAGGGAGTTCAGCAGGGGTGGTTAGCAGCGGACCCCCGGGTTCACTGGCGACCGTTGATTCGAACGACGCAAGTACACCATCAACGGCGGAGAGGGGCGGAGCGGCGGAACAAGCGGAACCATCCGCGGAGCCGGCGCAGCCATTGGCGGAACCGACGCAGCCATCAGCGGAATCGGCGGAGCAGTCCGCGGACGGCCGAGTGCCCTCCTGCGCCAAGGAAAGCGGGGGAAGAGAGGGTAACGAAGGTTCTTGTAACGAATTAACGCCGTCAGGCTCCGCGGAATTGGCCCCCGCGGAGTTGGGCTCTGCGCCGTTGGACTCAGCGGAGCTGGCTTCCGCGGACACCGCGGAGGGCGACCCCAGCGCCCCCAGCGCCTCTAGCGCGGAGGCCGTTGCTAGCGCCGAGGAAGTTCAAAAGGCAGAAAACGTTCCTTCTAACGAGGATGCTTCTGGCGCGGATGACGTGTCATCCGTTAGTAGCGATCAACCGGAGCCGCCGGAGGAGTTCATTTGTCCGCTCTCCCTCGATATAATGTTCGACCCCGTCATTGTGGAATCCGGGCAAACATACGAGCGTGCTTTTATCGAGCGCTGGGTCGTGGACGGCCACAAGACGTGCCCTAAAACGCGCCAGCCGCTCCCGTCGGGCGCGATTATACCGAATCAGATCCTCCGCGCGCTGATCAACGATTGGTGCAAGCGTAACCGCGTTGCGCCCCCGAATCCGATCTCCGCTGATGATGTTGCGCTGGCGTTCTCCGCCGGCGGCGCAAAGGGCGCGGAAGCGGGCGCGGGGGGACTGGCGGCGCAGCGCAGGCGGGAGTATGCGGCGGCGGCGGTGCGCGCGGCGGCGGTGGCGGTGGAGTCGGAGCGCCGGCAGCGCGCGCTGATGGAACAGGTGATGGCGGACCGCGCGGCGGCGGCGGCGAGGGCGGACGGGCGGGCGGGGGACCGCGCGAGGGCGGACGAGCTCGCAACGCGTCAGGCGCGCATTCAGCAAATGCGCGCAGCCGCGGGGCAGGGGCAGGGGCGTGGAGGGGGGAATGCGGGCGCGGACGCCCGCGCAACTGCAGCCGGTGCTGCTTCGGGGGCGGGAAGGGGAGGGGGGGAAGAGAGAGGGGGACAGGCGGGCGGGGGGGAAGACACGGGGGAAATGACAGAAAGAACCGCTGGGGTTTCCGCTGGTGCTTCCGCTGGTGCGCCTGCATCCGCCGAACCTCCCTCCAGATCTGCCGCAGCTCGCGTGGCGGCTCGGACGGCGGCTCGCGACGAAGCTGAGGATCGGTACGGGAACGGGATCCCGGACCACCTGCTAGCAGGCTTGGGAGGAGGCTCGGGAGGAGGTTTGGGAGGGGCCGGGGGAGGTTTGGCCCTGGCCGGCTGGCCTGGGAAACTAGCTATGAAAGCTGCTATATTTAAAACTCAGGCTTGGCCGAACCCGAAAGAGAACGAGGGTGGGGGAGGGGCAGGGGGAAGCGGAGCAGGGGGGAGTGGGGGAGGGGCAAGAGCGGATGTGACTATGTCGGGGCCGATTGGGGTGGGGGCAGGGGGAGCAGGGGGGAGCGGAGGGGGCGGGGGAAGCGGGCAAGGTGGGGGTGGGAGGACAGGTCTGAAGTTTGGCGGTCTCAGGCATTCCAGGTTCGCTGCTGGTAGCGCTGCTGCTGCTGCTGCTGATGGTGCTGCGTCCACTGGTGGTGCTGAAGCATCTTCTGCTGCTACAGCTGCCGCTACAGCCGCTGCTACTGCTGCGGCTACTCCTTCTGCCGCCACAGCTTCTGCTGCTACAGCCGCAGCTGCTGCGTCTGCTGCACCCGCGCCTGTCCGTCCCAGGCCAGGCGCCCTCACTGCCACCGGACCTACTTCCGGACCTGTTTCCGGACCTATGAGCCCCGGACCTACCGCAACTGCCATGCCTCTGAGCCCCAAGCCTCGGTTTCCGGGCCAGTCAGAGGGTCGGGTTTCCAAGGGTCGGAAGAAGATGGAACGGGAAATCGCGAGGCTGTTGGCTCGGGAAGACAATGCATCGAGGGAACATAGTATGGAACGGGGAGGAGGAGGAGGAGGAGGGGAAGGAGGAGGTTGGGGAGGAGGAGGAGGGGGGCATGAGCGAGGGCTGAGCACGAGTAGCAGCGTGGACGGTGGGCAGTGGGAGTCGATTCCGTACCAGTTCCCGTCCTCGCGTTCCCTCGATCCAAACCAGGGCCACCACTCCAGTTTCCCCTCTTCTGCCTCGGTTGACGGCGGCTACAGTGGCGCATTCTCCTTCGCATCTGCCTCTGTCTCTGGCCCTGCCTCTCCCCCTCCTGCTGCTGCTGCTGCTGGTGTTGCTGGTGCTGCTGGTGGTGCTGCTGCTGGTGGTGCTGGTGGGGGTGGTGCTGCTGCTGCTCTCCCCCCCCGCGCGTCCCTCCCCCTCCCCTCCTCCCACCACTCCATCCTCTCGCAAGCCTCCTTCGCGCCCTCCCCCCCTTCCCCTCTCCCCCCCCACCCCCGCGGCTCCCACTCCAAAGCCCCCTCCTACGCCTCCTCCTCCCACGCCCGCGCCTCCTCCTCCTCCCTCTCCCCCTCCGAACCCCCAGAGGAGTTTCAAATGTTAGACGTAGACAATCTAGTTAACCACATGCGCACCGGGCCGCCCGAGGAAAAAGCTGCGGCCGCCGCCCTGCTCCGGGTGATGACCCGGCACGGGTTCGCGTGCGGGCGGCGGGTTTTGGAAGCGGGCGGCGTGGCGCCACTCGTCGATCTCCTCTGGTCGGACGACGAGCCAACCGCCGAGCACGCAACTACCTCTCTCTTCAACCTTGCTCTAGAAGCTTCCGCTAGGATGCGTATCGTGGTTACCACCGGGAGTAGAGTAGTAGAAGGGCTAGTTCACGTGCTCTCCGCCGGTGCGCCGGCCGCGAGAGCCAACGCAGCAGCGGCTCTCTTTCTCCTTTCCCGCGACACCGGTGCCAACAGCAGTATTAACAGCGGTGCCCGCGCCGCAGCCGAGGCGAACTCGTTACGCGAAGCAGTGGTAACCGCAGGGGCGTTACAACCGCTGCTAGACCTCCTCCTAGACGGCCCCACCCGGGCCAAAAAAGACGCCGCGAACCTCCTGGTTTCCCTCTGCATGGCCCGGCCGAACCGGTCCAGCGTGGCTAAAGCCGGTGCAGTGCGGTGCTTGTGCCAGTTGCTGAGTGAAGGGGTGGAGGTGGTAGAGGAGCAAGCAGCAGCGGTGTTTGCGGCTTTGGTTAGAGACCCTGAGGGGAGAGAGGTGTTGGTGGAAGAAGGGGCGGTGCCGGCATTGGCTGAGTTGGTAGAGGGGGGCACGCAGGGACGGGCGAGGGAGTATGCGGTGGGGACGCTGCTGGGGCTGGGGGCGAGCAGCAAGGAGTGGTTGGTGGCGATTGATGAGGAGGGGATATCTGCCTCAGTGGACGTTCTGACACGCGTGGGAACCGGCAAAACGCAAGCCAAGGTGAGTCGACTCAAAAGGAGCCTTGAGTGAGAGGGTGAGGGATCCGGAGGGGAGAGAGGTGCTGGTGGAAGAAGGGGCGGTGCCGCCTTGGCTGAGTTGGTGGAGGGGGGCACGCAGGGGCGGGCGAGGGAGTATGCGGTGGGGACGCTGCTGGGGCTGGGGGCGAGCAGCTACTGAGATGACTTTTGAGTCGACTAAAAAAGAACTCCCCCTCCCGACCCACTCTGCTGCTCGCCTCTCCCAGGCCACAGCGCCGCTGGAGCTACTGAGATTGTGCCATGCCAGGCACAGGATAATGGTTAGCAAGGTGCTGGATCGCGAGTGGTGCTGGTGCTGGTGCTGGTGCTGGTGCTGGTGCTGGTTGCTGCATCCTGTTCCTACTATTCCCTTCCGTGTGACCCACCTCCCCTTCCCTCTTCTCCCCCCCCCTGCTGCTCGTTTCCCCTGCCAGGCCGCAGCACTGCTGGAGCTCCTGCGGTCGTGCCAGACACAGGAGGATTGATAGAAGAAGAGGGGGACCGGATTGCAAGTGGTGATGTGATGCTGCTGGTTGACGGATGCTTAGAAGGTGACTTTTGAGTCGACTCAAAAGTCACCTCACTGCTGGAGCTCCTGCGGTCGTGCCAGGCAGGCACAGGAGGGTGGATAGAAGAAGAGGGGGACCGGATTGCAAGCAGTGATGCTGCTGGTTGACGGAAGCTCGTCCTGCTACCCCCTCCCTTGCAATGCCCCCTCCCACCCCACTCTGCTGCTCATTTCCCCTCCCAGGCCGCAGCACTGCTGGTGCTCCTGCGGTCGTGCCAGGCACAGGAGGGTGGATAGAGGGAGGGATGGAGTGCAAGTGGTGGTGGTACTGGTTGATGCATGCTGTTCCGGCTACCCACTCCCTCCCCTCCGCTTCCCCCTCCTATCCCCCCTCTGCTGCTCTTCCCCCCTTCAGGCCGCAGCACTGCTGGAGCTCCTGCGGTCATGCCAGGCACAGGAGGGTTAGCGGGAAGTGGGGGGCGTGTGGCACGTGGTGGTGGTGGTTAGAGGGAGGGGCGATAGCGAGTGCTAGAGCTACTGCGGTGTGCCAGGCACAGGAGAGTTAGCGGGAAGTGGGGGGGGGTGTGGCAAGTGGTGGTGGCAGGTGGGAGGGGTGATAGCAAGTGCTAGAGCTACTGCGGTGTGCCAGGCACAGGAGGGTTAGCGGGAAGTGAGGGGCGGGTGGCAAGTGGTGGTGGTGGTTAGAGGGAGGGGCGATAGCGAGTGCTAGAGCTACTGCGGTGTGCCAGGCACAGGAGGGTTAGCGGGAAGTGGGGGGCGTGTGGCAAGTGGTGGTGGTGGCAGGTGGGAGGGGTGATAGCAAGTGCTAGAGCTACTGCGGTGTGCCAGGCACAGGAGGGTTAGCGGGAAGTGGGGGGGGGTGTGGCAAGTGGTGGTGGTGGCAGGTGGGAGGGGTGATAGAAAGTGCTAGAGCTACTGCGGTCATGCCAGGCACAGGAGGGTTAGCGGGAAGTGAGGGGCGGGTGGCAAGTGGTGGTGGTGGTTAGAGGGAGGGGCGATAGCGAGTGCTAGAGCTACTGCAGTCATGCCAGGCACAGGAGGGTTAGAGGGAAGTGGGGAAGAGGAGGGGGGGGGGTGATAGCAACTGCTAGAGCTCTTGAGGTCATGCCAGGCACAGGAGGGTTAGAGGGAAGTGGTGGGAGAGGGGGGGGGGGTGGGGGTGGCAAGTGCTGGAGCTCTGCTGAGGAATGGCAAGTGCTGGAGCTGCTGAGGTCGTGCCAGGTGCGAGGCTGCTGAGGATGGTTAGAGGGAGCGGGAATCATGGTAAGTGATGGTGGTTAGACGGAGAGGGGAAGGGGGTGGCATGGCAAGTGGTGGTGGTGGTGCTGGCTTGATGGTTTTGTGTGATGATGGCTAGTGGGGGGATGGTGGAGCAAGTGTTGATTTGAGCGTGTGTGTGTAGAGGACGTACCACTGAGTCCTAACCAAAGAGCGGCATTAGTGGAATGTAGAGGAGTGAAGGTTGTGATGTGAACCTTCAAACAGACAGACAGACAGACAGAGCAGACAGTGCCTCCCGTGAGTGAATGGTTGGTAGGGCACAAAGCGGACAGGTCGTATTGGTGGTTCTGGTAGCTGTGCCGGTTGTATTGTTTATGAGTATGACAACGACCTGTAGAAGACTGCGAATTTGAACACCTATTTATACTTATGCGTGCATTTACTGTCTTATTTTTTTACACCACATTATCCCTGTAGAAGATACCGATGTCAGTGTAAGGTCGAGGGAGTGTTACCGTTCAATGCGATGCAAATGGCAGGATGTGTCTGGATCAGGGCCTCAGAAGTCAGCGAAAGAAGGCTGATTTAGGTAAAAAAGGCTGAGATTTCAGACCTTTTTTTAGAACTGAGGCTGATTTTTCAGCAATTTGTTGAAAACAAACAGATTTTGTGTTTTAAATTTGTAGTGTAAAATGGCATAAAATGGCCGATTTGTCCTTTTTTCAGCAAAACGTTTTGTACCAACTCTGATTTTTCAGCCTAGGCCAAAACGAATATGAGGCCCTGGTCTGGATATGTTTTTTATTAGGGTGATTTGCCAGGGTACGAACCAAGTGAGGTCATCTGTACATTTGTTGCTTTCATGGTAACAGATCAGGTAACCACCAATACACTACCGGTGCATTCCTAGTGCTCTTTCTTCTCGGCATCGCATATTCCAGGATTTTACTTCTAATAACTCTCAGACTCTCCTTACCCTCTCAACTCAAGTACGGTACTGGTACCTTAGACGCTTCCTAAAATACTATCCCTTCAGTTCTTTCTCCTTGGCCTCGCATATAGCATCCAGCTGCTTCTTTGCTGCTGCTTTTGAGACGCCTTGCCTCAGAAAGGCAATGAATTAGGTTGCCAACAGTGTGTTACCCCTTCAGTTCTTTCTCCTTGGCCTCGCATATAGCATCCAGCTGCTTCTTTGCTGCTGCTTTTGAGACGCCTTGCCTCAGAAAGGCAATGAATTAGGTTGCCAACAGTGTGTTACCCCTTCAGTTCTTTCTCCTTGGCCTCGCATATAGCATCCAGCTGCTTCTTTGCTGCTGCTACTGCATCCTCTACCTGCCACATGCACACACACACAGCAGAGACGGGGTGAGGAATGCAGGGGTAAGAGTCAAGGCCAAGCAAAGCCTCTAAAGCAGCTTCTTTGCTGCTGCTACAGCATCCTCTACCTGCCACACATACGACAGGGGGGTATTGCAGGGTGCGGGGTGATGAGAGCGAGTGGAGAACGATGAGTGTGGGCATGGTGTGTGTGACGTGGCTGGGGCGTCTGGCTGGACGAAGTGGTGAGTCAGTGTTGCATTAGAGTCAAGCCAGCACCTCTTAATCTGCTGCGCCCACACCACACACATGCATGAGGCCCAGGAGGGGTAAACGAAATTGAGGGGGAACGTGGAGAATAACGGGCAGGCAACAGTGAGTGAGGGGGGTTGACTTTTGAGTCAACTCACAAGTCAACTTGCACGAGGCCCAGACGGGTAAGCGAAGATGAGGGGGAACTTGGAGAATAACGGGCAGGCAACAGTGAGTGAGGGGGCCCAGGAGGCCCAGGAGGGGTAAACGAAATTGTGGGGGAACATGGAGAATAACGGGCAAAAGTGAGTGAGGGGGGTAGTAGACAAACAGTACACCCTTTTCTGCCCGCTTGCGCTTGTCCTCGGGAATCACGTCTGCTGCTTTCTTTACCGCACATCAAGGCATTGTGTATGGTGAGAAAGAATGCGGTGCAGTGCGGTGAAGGGCGATGAGGGTGGTAAAGAGTGTACCTTTTTTTCTGCCCGCTTACGCTCGTCCTCGGGAATAACGTCTGCTGCTTTCTTTATTGCGTCCATTCCCTATAAGCACATGCACACGCACACGCACAAGCACAAGCACATGAGGTGGGGTGGATTTGAGTTGCAGGAGAACAGGAACAATGGAGAGGGGTGTCCGCTTGCGCTCGTCCTCGGGAGTCACGTCTGCTGCTTTCTTGATCGCGTCCATTCCCTATAAGGATGGACACATGAGGTTTTATTGCATAAGACGAGGGGGCAACGGGGTAGTAGCATGGGGCAAATCGGCGTGTTGACTTGAAATGACTTTTCAGCCAACTCAATCAGAGAGCAGATTGGAGCGATGGCTAGAAAACATTGAGCTCAAAGGTTCATTGCCCTGCCTCCTTATGATTCTCCTAAAATATGCCCTGAAACGGCGCCTTAAAAAGCTGAACTTTGAACGGCTTCCGGGGCTTCCGAGACTCGGAAGAGTTCGGCAACTAAGTGCTCCACATGCATGCAATTCAACACAAGTGTGTAGTGAGTCGAGTTTTGAGTCGACTCAAAACTCGACTCACTACACACGACGCTCGGAAGAGTTCGGCAACTAAATGCTCCACATGCATGCAATTCAACACAAGCAAGGGGCTTTCTGCCCTTTTTAGCATTAATACTTGTATATTTCTTTAGCATCCAACACACAGAAAAGAAGGCATTTATGCTATCCATGAAATCTGCAGATGATTTTAGATTGTTATGAACTCATGGCAAGTGCACGCATCAGCACACTCGGCAACACACTAAGGGATGCAGCAAGTGAACCACCCAGCAATACACCTAGCAACACTCTGAGCCACCCCCACTGACCTCCTTTCTCGCTCGCCTCAAGCTCACTCTCGCAGACTCTGCAGCCTTTTGAGCTAGCTTGAACATGGCCTGGGGAAGGGAAAGGGGTGGGGGATGGAAAGGGGGATGGGGACGTGCAGATCGTCAGGAATGGATAATAACTTCTGAGACGTGCCAAGCTCACTCTTGCAGACTCCAATGACTTGTGAGCGAGCTTGAGCATGGTCTGGGGATGGGGACGGGGGGAAGAGAAAATGGAGGGGGGAGAGGAAGGGGGAGGGGGTTGGGTAGGGTGACGATGTGGGCATGGAGAGGGAAAAACTTGGAAAGCGGGATGGGCGGATGAGAAGAGAGGATGGAAGTTGATGATTGAGAGGTGAGAGGGATAAGGAGTCAAAGACATAACTCTCACCCACCTCCTCACACCTCTCTCACTCCCCTCCTCGCACCTCCCTCACTCCCCTCCTCTCACCTCCCTCGCTCCCCTCTTCTCACCTCCCTTACTCCCCTCCTCTTACCTCTTTCAATTCCCTCCTCTCACCTTCCCACTGCCCTCCTCTCACCTCCCTCACTCCCCTCCTCTCACCTCCCTCAATCCCCTCCTCTCACCTCCCTCAATCCCCTCCTCTCACCTCCCTCGCTCCCCTCCTCTCACCTCCCTCGCTCCCTTCCTCTCACCTCCCTCACTCCCCTCCTCTCACCTCCCTCATTCCCCTCCTCTCACCTCCCTCACTCCCCTCCTCTCAACTCCCTCACTCCCCTCCCCTCACCTCCCTCACTCCCCTCCTCTCACCTCCCTCACTCCCCTCTTCTCACCTCCCTCACTCCCCTACTCTCACCTCCCTCACTCCCCTACTCTCACCTCCCTCACTCCCCTCCTCTCACCTCCCTCACTTCCTTGGTCAGCCTGGAGAGTGGGGAAGTCAAGTCACTCCACTCCTATCCGCTCTCCCCTTAACTCTATCAATAACCTACTCTAACCTCTCTCACTCCCCTCACCTTCGCTTCTCACTCCCTTTCCGGTCACCGTTTTCACTTCCCCGCAACCCCCTCACTCCCTCGGCCTCACCTCTCTCACTACCTTGGTCAGCCTTGAATGTGGGGAAGACATTCCACTCCCGCTCCTATCAGCTCTGCCCTTAACTCTGCAAATAACCTCCTCTAACCTCTCTCGCTCCCCTCACCTTACCTTCTCACTCACCAGGGGCGGCACGGCTCACCAAGGAAGACTCACCAGGGGCGGCACGGCCTGTCCTTATCTTAGCGAGTTCCTTGATAAGAGCCTCTTTCGCCTCCTCCACCGAAACTCAAGTAACATACGCGTCAACCCAAAGATTCCATCCCAGTCTCACCAGGGGCGGCACGGCCTGTCCGTATCTTGGCGAGCTCCTTAATAAGAGCCTCCTTCGCCTCCTCCACATGCACCTGCACCAGATCTACCGCCCCCTGCACCGCCTCCTCTCCACCTTCCTCCCCACCCTCACCCGCCCCTCCCCCTCCCCCTCCCCGGCCTTTCTTCCCCCCGGCCCCCTTCTTCCCAGAAGCTTCTTTCTTGTCCTTGCCCTTTTTCTTGGCCCCGGATTTTGATCCTCTTCCTGTCTCCTCTTCCTCCTCCTCCTCTGCCTCCTCCTCTTCGTCCTCTTCTTCCTCTTTCGCCTCCTCGTGCTTGCCTTGCTTCTTGTGCTGCTTATGTAGCTTGTCTATCAGGAATGGGGGATTCGCAGGGGAGAGGGTGGAAAGGAAGGGGGGAGAAAGTGGGGGGAGAGAGTGAGGGAAGAAAGTGGGGGGGAGGGAGGCCGGATAAAATTCAGGGAGAGAGTGGGGGCCCTCCACGGACCCATGCGCGGCACTGTATTAGCACATTACGCACCCACTTCACTATCACGCTCCCGTGCACGGCACTGTAGTGTCACATCACGCACCCGTTCGCCGGTGCGAGTGCGCGAAACACCGCCTTGGGATCACCGAGACAGCGGCCGGCGGAAGGGCCGGCGGAGTAGCACGGGCGCGCGGAACAATGAGCGGAGCGGCGTTGGCGGGGGGAACGCGGAGCGGTTGCGCGGGGAACAGGGGAGCGGGGAGTCCGGCTAGCGACGCAATGCCACGTGGACGGCACGGCGCGCTGGGATTTGTGCTGTCACTGAGAAGGCGAAACGCTCGCGACGCGCGTGTGTCGCCATCGGACGGTGGAGGAGATGAAAAGGGAGAATCCACGGTATGATCACAGCCAGTTAGATCGACGGTTGCTGTGGCAATGAAGTGCGATCGAAGAGCTGCCTCCGGGTTATTGATACGCGCGGCAATGGCGGCCCGCACAAGGCGGCGTGAGCTACGGAACGCCATGTATGTGCTTGGAGCTTTGCGGCTATGGCAAACGCTCATGAAACAAGACAAACAACGGCGGATATGCTTCGCCAATTCCTGGACTGTCTCGGTGCGGTATAAAACAGTACGATGCAGCACCAATGTGGCAATCACAACTACACGCGCGGCTTGTAATATTTACCCGTTTGCAGTATCAGGAGCACTGAACTCATAATGCACTAGTGGAAGAATAAATACTGGAATCTATTTAGGCTGGAAAATAAAAGAGGAAACTCGATTACTATATTTTACTCGATACAAAGCCATTCCTCATTCTAGCACTTTCACAGCCGAACAAACATTTTTCACCTCAAAGACTCCCATCAACTCGCTGGTACCGTATTCTTTCTTGCCACCTACCACCCCTCCCATCCTACCAAAATCTCCAGCCACTCCCCCTAGAGGGTCTAATCCCCCTCCCCCCATCATGATCCCCACGTCCCTCACATCTCGCTCCACCAGCTGGGCCAGCCTCCCCACCGCCTCTGCCTGTGTCGCTGCTCCGCCCCTGCACTCTGCTCCTCACATGCTCCATGTCTGCCCCATGCCTGGGACTGCCCTGTGCCCCCGCCATTCCCCCTAGAGGGTCCACTCCCCCTCCCCCCATCATAATCCCCACGTCCCTCACATCTCGCTCCACCAGCTGAGCCTGCCTCCCCACTGCCTCAGCCTGTGTTGCTGTGCTTGTGTTGCAGCTACCCCCGTGCATTCCAAGCGGGTATGCCCTATGCCCCTGCCACTTCCCCCAGAGGGTCCACTCCCCCTCCCCCCATCATGATCCCCACGTCCCTCACATCTCGCTCCACCAGCTGAGCCAGCCTCCCCACCACCTCTGCCTGAGTCGCTTCTACGCCCTTGCACTCTGCTTCTCGTGTGTTCCGTGCCTGACCTATGCCCCCGCCACTCCTCCTAGCGGATCCACCCCCCCTCCCCCCATCATGATCCCCACGTCCCTCACATCTCGCTCCACCAGCTGCGCCAGCCGCCCCAGCGCCTCTGCCTGTGTTGCCACCACCCCCCTCATCCTCTCCATACTCCACTCCTCCCCCCTCACTCCCCCGCCCTCCCCCGCCCCCCCTGCTCCCCCTGCTGCTCCCCCTGCGCCTGTGTCCGCTCCCCCCCCTTCTCCCCCCCCATCGGCCAGCATGCTAGCTGCTGCAGCGAGGGACTCGACTTTGCGGGGCAGCTCTGATGCCCCACTGCAGAGCAGACGGAGGAGGGACTGGTTTGTGGGGAGGGGAGGGGGGAGTAGGGGAGTGGAGAGGGGCGATAGTGTGGAAGGGAGAAGAGGAGGGGAGTTGCAACCAGAACCGCAGGCTGGCTGCTGCAGCGAGGGATTCAACCTTGCGGGGGAGCTCTGATGCCCCACTGCACAGCAGACGGAGGAGGGACTGGGGGAGGGGGGGGAGGGGGGAATGGGGATTGGAGAGGGGCAGATGGAAGAGGAGGGGGGACTGGAGTGGGTACAACCAGAACAGCAAGCTGGCTGCTGCAGCGGGGGACTGGGGGAGGGGGGGGAGTGGGGAGGGGGGAGTGGGTAGGGGGGAATGGGGATTAAAGAGGGGCAGATGGAAGAAGAGGGGGGAGAGGGCACAACAACCAGAACAGCAGGCTGGCTGCTGCAGCGGGGGACTCGACCTTCCTGGGGAGTTCTGATGCCCCACTGCACAGCAGACGGAGGAGGGACTGGGGGAAGGGGGAGATACGGAGGGGGGAGGGGGGAGTGGGGAGTGGAGAGGGGCAGATGGGAGAAGAGGGGGGAGAGGGCACAACAACCAGAACAGCAGGCTGGCTGCTGCAGCTAGGGACTCGACCTTTCTGGGGAGTTCTGATGCCCCACTGCACAGCAGACGGAGGAGGGACTGGGGAGGGGGGAGAGGGGGGAGAGGGAAGGGAGAGGGAAGTGGGTGTGCGCACAACAAGACATGTTCGTGCGACCTTTGAGAACTCTCAAAAGTCGCAACAAAAAGACCGAGATGTTCTGGAAGCTCTGATGCCCCGCTGCACAGCAGCCGGAGGAGGGAGTGGAGAATGGGGGGAGAGGGAAGCGGGATGGGGGAGAGGGAAGCGGGATGGGGGAGAGGGAAGCGGGATGGGGGAGAGGGAAGCGGGATGGGGGAGAGGGAAGCGGGATGGGGGAGAGGGAAGCGGGATGGGGGAGAGGGAAGCGGGATGGGGGAGAGGGAAGCGGGATGGGGGAGAGGGAAGCGGGATGGGGGAGAGGGAAGCGGGATGGGGGAGAGGGAAGCGGGATGGGGGAGAGGGAAGCGGGATGGGGGAGAGGGAAGCGGGATGGGGGAGAGGCATGGGATGGTGCTAGAAGAGATCACCAACGAGAGCACATGGGGGATGGTGTGTGTGCAAACTCACCTGACGCTCATCTGGAATCTCACCTGAAGCGTATCTGGAACCTCACCTGAAGCCTGTCCAATAGGAGCAGCTCCGTTGGCGAGAGAGGGACGTGGGGAGATGTCCTTAGCTCCATGATCTGAGAAGAGGGAGGGGCGAGAGATGAAGAAAGAGGCGAAAGTTACTAATGAGTCGATTCGAGAGGGACGTGGGGAGATGTCCTGCGCTCCATGATCTCATGGGAGGGAGGGGAGGAGAGAGAGCAGGGGAGATGCGAGAAGGAGGGAGGGAGGAGGACAGAGGGATTTGGGGCGATGCCCTGAGCTCCACGATTTGAGGGGAGGGAGGGGCGGGAAGAAAGTAAGGAGGGAGATGCGAGAGGGATGGAGGAGGACAGAGGGACGTGGGGAGATGTCCTGAGCTCCATGATCTGAGAGGAGGGACGGGCGGGAAGAGAGTAAGGAAGATGTGAGGGCGGGCGAGGAGAGAGAGCAAGGCATGGGCGAAGTGAATTTGATTCGAGAGGAGAGGGATGTGACAAGGGGAGGGAGGGGAGAGAGCAAGGGAGGAGCGAGAGGGAGTGCGGGGAGAGAGCAAGGGAGGGCGGAGATGACTTAGGAGTCGATTCAGAAGGGATGTGGAAAGATGTCCTGAACTCCATGATCCGAGAGGAGGGAGGGGAGGAGAAAGAGCGAGGGATGAAACACGTTCGTACACCCCAAATTCCCCATACGTCCATAAACCTCCTCCCCTAAACCCCCACTCCCTTCAAACGCACCTCCACTAATCGCATCAGTCGCAGCACCCGCTGCTGCAGCTGCTGCTGCCGCTGTCTCACAGCCCCCTGCCGCCCCTCTGTGACTGCTGTCACGTGCGCCCTCACCTGCCCCACCGCCGCCTCCACCGCATCCAGCCGCTGTCTATCCGCCTCTATCGTCTCGTCCTGAAGGGCGAGGGAGGCAGCAGAGTGGGAGACAAGGCCTTAGGTGGTGCTGCTGTCACGTGCGCCCTCACCTGCCCCACCGCCGCTTCCACCGCATCCAACCGCTGTCTATCCGCCTCTATCGTCTCGTCCTGAAGGGCGAGGGAGGCAGCAGAGTGGGAGACAAGGCCTTAGGTGGTGCTGCTGTCACGTGCGCCCTCACCTGCCCCACCGCCGCTTCCACCGCATCCAACCGCTGTTTATCCGCCTCTATCTTTTCATCCTGAGGGGGGAGGGGGGGAGCAGAGTGAGTGAGGTGGTGTGGAGCGAGAGAATGGGGTGGGGAGAGCAAAGTGGGACATGCCACCTTCGCTGCTCCTGCTGCTTCTTCAACCATCCCACTCGGCGGCCCCCCTCTCCTATCGTCCTACCTGCACTTGCCGTCTCTTCTCTTCAACAATCCCTAAAATCCGCAAGCCATCTCCAGCCACAACCCTACCGCCTATCTCTCACCTCTTCCCACCTCCTACCTCTTCCTCCTTTCCCTCTGCTTCCACTCAACATTCCCCCCTCTCCTATCGTCCTACCTGCACTTGCAGTCTCTTTGACAATCCCGAGAATCCGCACACCATTTCCGGCCACAGCCCGTCCGCCTGGTTTTCCGGGCCAGCCGCCGCCAGCAGGCGAATCGCCTCTTGCCACGTCAGCTCGGGGACGTTGGGCGGGCGGAAGCGCGCCAGGGGGTGTGTGACGCTAAGAAACGGGCTCACGAACCGCCCTAGCGGGTTCCGCGCGTCGCCGAAATACGCGGCGGCGATCGCGGCGACCTCCCTTTCCGGAAGCGCCCCGGACCATTGCGCGGATTGCGCCGCGAATTGCGCCTGTTGAAGCGCCCCCTGCTGCTGCTGCTGTTGCGGTTGGGTTAGGGTTAGTTGACCGCCGAAGCCAAGCGTCGCGGAAGCAGCGCCGAATGCGGAGGTGGGGGCTCCGCCGAATGCGGAGGTGGGGGCTGCGCCGAATGCGGAGGTGGGGGCTGCGCCGAATGCGGAGGTGGGGGCTGCGCCGAATGCGGAGGTGGGGGCTGCGCCGAATGCGGAGGTGGTTGTGGCGCCAAACGCGGAGGTCGGGGCAGCGCCAAACGCGGAGGTAGACGCGCCGAAAGCGGGCGTCGACGCAGCGCCAAACGCGGGAGTGGAAGCAGCGCCGAATGCGGAGGTAGGCGTAGCGCCGAACGCGGGCGTGGACGCGGCGCCGAACGCGGGAGCTGATTGGCCGAACGGCGAGGGCGCTGCGGGGGTCGTCTGGTCGAAAAGGGATGGCGCCGCGGCTGCTTGAGTTTGCTGCCCGAACGGCGAAGGCGTGGCGGGCGTTTGCTGGCCGAATAACGAGGGCGCCGCGGGAGTGGTCTGCTGCGGCTAACAGCGACGATCCCGGTGTGGACCCAAACAGCCCTCCTCCTGTCGCCATGCGTGGCGGAGCGGGGGAGTGGCGGAGCGATGGGGTGCGGGAAGCGGAAGGGTCGCACGGGGAAGGGAGGGCTTCCGCGCGGAGGCGTAAGGGTAGACGGCGGAAAGAAAGGGATCAGCAGTGATACTATCAGTGGTCGTCGCAGGATGCCCCGCAGCCTGGTTGATCTGTTTGGGGAGGTTGTCTGCCTTGGACGGGTTGGGGTGGGGGGTGGATACATCAGAGAACCCCGAGATTACAAACAAATCCCAATGCCAAGGTTCGACTCGCCACCGCAAAGCAAACCCTCTTTATTAGCCAGATCTGCATTGAACCTTACACAAACATATTGAAACCGTTGTAAAGAGCGACTATGAACTTCGATACCTGCGCAGCTGCTGTGGGCATGCATCGAGGTTGCCTGTGAGAATGCGTTTTTGTGATTTTCGTTAGTGCCTCACACAGTGCGGCGACAACGGACGTGCTTGTGGGGTTTGTGAATTTTGTTTACAATCCATTCGTTTGTAACAATGCTAGTCAAAATTATTGGAAAATACAACCCGCAATACAAGAGGGTCAGGAAGGGAAGCTGGTTGTTGGCACAAGACCTACTGCACTTACCCTAGTCTACACACCGATTCATCAAATCATGGCCCGACTTACCTAGAAGCTAAAACAATACAAAACAAAGCAAAGCACATGGAACCGTGCAAAGATTACGATGGCTTATCCACATTTGGAGAACCAGCTACCACTAGCCATGGCCTCAAACATCAAGTCTGGCCGCATTCCACAAGAACTGCCAGAGCCAGGCCCAACCTGGGAGCAAAAAGTCTCCAACAAACCCTCGACGCTTACACCATTTGGACCAGACCGGCTTGGAGCCTCCTGCTGCTGGGCTGCAAGGAATCTGTTGAACCCTCCATTCAGCCATGGCTGCCTAGGCTGCAGGTTATGTGCATCTGCGTGACACTCTCTTTGTGTCAAGCAGTCGAGGGAAGCCAGCAACTCCCCTATAGTTTCACTATCATCCAATACCGGGAAGGTTCCTGGTAACTCCATCGCCGAACCTGCCTCCTGCTCCCCAGAACATGGATTCTGCAGGCCTTGCTTTCCAGTGCGAACTTCAAGTGCAAGGCTATCGGCTCCCAAGTCGAAGCTGCTTCTTCCTTCACACATTTCCGTCGGTTTGACAGGCATCCAAGCAGACGCTGGGAGGCTGTCGGTTTGATTGCAAGCCGCAGATGCTGCTGTTCTGCTTATCAGGTCCAGAAGAGCAGCTTCCAGGAACCCACCAGCGTCGCTCCCTTCGAAATGCCTGTGATGCAAATCTGGTGCCGTTTCTTGAGAAGCCCGATTGGTGGTCTCTGTACGGAACCTCCAGTGCTCAGTCTCATGCAGTGTGGGAAGGGGAGGGACGTTCAAGACTCTTGCTTTCCCTGCTGCCTCCCTTCCCGGATAAACTGCAATTGCAGCAGCAGCAGAAGGAGAAGGAGCAGGAGCAGGAGCAGCTGCAGAAGCAGCAGCCTGAGCGGTGCGGCCTATAGGCATCCCTCTTAAACGAACACCTGTCAATTCATGCGCAGGCTTGTGTGGTGGGACTAAAAGAAGGTTGGTCACGCCTGCTTCTTTTACCACACAAGCTGCCGCAGCAGCAGCAGCAGCAGCAGCAGCAGCAGAAGTGAAATTACCACCATCAGCAGCACTCGCATTTGTGTCCGCAGCGGTAGCTCGAGTCGCAGTGGCGTTAGACCCAGTGCTCACCCCAGGGGAACCATACTCAGTAAAATCAGTTTCACTAGCAGCAGCAGCAGCAGCAGCAGCAGCCTCGATAAGAGACACTGATCCAGCATACTCGGTGAAAATGATGCCGCTATCAGACTCAGGTGCCGCACAAGCAGCGGTATCGATATTGTTAGCCAAATCAGCTAAGGCAGCTTCTATGCTTACGTTGTCGGACCCATATTCAGCAGTCTTTTGCAAAGGGAAAACGTCCTCAGAAAATCCCAGTAATGGATGGAATTGGCCCTGCAGTCTCTCCCGAAAGTTGAAATACTTCCTGTAGGAGAGAACACGGGAGATATGGGGAAGAGTCGATGTGGTTGTTCAGGTGAGCCAATTACCCCCCTAGACGAACAGATGAGAAAGAAGATGAAATAAAGACGGAAAAAGTACTGATCTCATTTCTAACAGGAGAAACAAGAAAGAACGAAGGGACTCAGAAAGCCATACTGCGCACGATAAAGAATCCAATGTCACCTCTTGGGCACGATGAATCAATCATACCTCTTTAAGACGATGAATCGGTTGCAGCAGGCCTTGCTGTCCCGGCCTGGCAGCAGCCCCGCGTTGACAACGGCCCTCCACTGCCTCGTGCCGTGCGCTGCCACGTGCAGCAGCAGCTTGCGGTCCTCCTGAGATTAAAAAGAATGGAGGGAGAGATGGAGAAATGTTTTTATTGAATGGCAACATGCGCTGCCACGCGCAGCAGCAGCTTGCGGTCCTCCTGAAAACAATGAGAGGTGTGAGAAAGAAGGGTAGGGAAGAAAGGATGTTCTGATTGGAAGGCAACATGCGCTGCCACGTGCAGCAGCAGCTTGCGGTCCTCATGGGTTGGGCGGCAGGAGAGAAAGGCATGAAGCAATGAAGTGACGAGCGCTGCCATGCGCCTGCAGCAGCAGCGCGCGATCCTGATGTGGCTAGGAGAAAAGAGGAGAGGAGGGTTTTCTTCACCTCAGGGGTCCAGGCCCGCCCGATTTTGCCACAGCCGTGTGTTGAGTCGACTCAAAACACCAGAATGATGAGAGGCAATGAGAGCAGCTCACCTCAGGGGTCCAGGCCCGCCCGAAGATCCGCGTCCTTGCTCCAGCTGTCATGCTGATGCCACAGCCGCTGTGGGCAGTGCTGCCCTTGGGAGGTTGACCGTTTGACCGCTGGCACAACTTCTCAGCTTCACAGCGATTACAGCTTCTCGGCTCCTCAGAGTCTCGGCTTCTTGGCTTCTCAGATTCTCAGCTTCTCAGATTCTCAGCTTCTCAGCCTCTCAGCTTCTCAGCCTCTCAGCTTCTCAGCCTCTCAGCTTCTCGGATTTTCAGCTTCTTGGCGTCACAAACCCTTTCTGGAAACGCCACCACCACGAGGTGTGCTCGTTCTATATTCTCGGAACACCAGACTCGAGCTCAAGTGAAATGCAGTGGTATGAACGATGAGCGACGGGTGTACTAATAAGGATGCGCCGTTGACCTGACTTTTACGAAACCATCCAGCGGCCTGGCTAGGTGGCTGGCTGTATTCGCGGGAATGATTGCGGCAGTCGGACTAGCGGCCCTCAGGTCCCGCTGTGGGCTACAGCGGTTTCCACCGGCGCTTCGAAAGCGAGGCTCCGCTCTTCAAATGCTTCAGGGTTTAGGGTTATCCGCGATCCACGGCGAATAAAATATGGCCGCATTTGTTTGAAGCGTGCTCTGCTATCCCTTGCGTGCAGTTAGAGCTGTTTAAGGTCGTTGGTCCTTAGTACAAGTTGTACGCGCGAATGCTGCTCCCCGATCTGTACTCAAATCACAGCCTTACTAATAAAAGTATGCGCTGGGGCAATGTCATTGCCTACCGGAGGGAACATTGACGAAAATCTTTGGCCACAGGTCCGCATTTTGGTGGTAATGCGAGTTGCGAGCAGCGGAATATCGCATCGGACAACGCACGAACTGACAGAATTCTGTCCGTTATTTCGAGCGCTCCAAAAATCGGCATGGCCTCCCGGAATTGAGTGGATTCCACGAGCTCGCATCGAACGGGACAACGCACGAATGGAGGCGATCTGAAGTGGTTTTTGGTACAGTGGCTAGTAAATTATAGCATGACTTGTGGTTAGTACAGTGGAGCTCGGGAAGCCGAGCCGCGCCACCGTTACTGGCATTTCTGTTTTACGGGGACGTAAAATGCAATGCAACCCCGGGCCTTTACGTCACGGCTTGAAGAAAGTCGTATTTTAGCGAACCAATTGCGGGCATTAGATGGGAGCGGAACTGAAACAGAATTCTGTCGCGGAGCCCTCGCCTTGGCGTTTATTTCGTTGCCGAAGGTGAGGTCATTTCCGTTGCCCATCGACCCGCTACAGTGCCTTTCAGCCCGAATCGCACTCCTGAAACATGATTAGTTGATATATTCTGACTACGTAGTATGACGTAAAAAAACAGCTCGCCATTATTCAGCTGAGGAGGAGTCTGGCGAAGTCGGGCCTGCGGTGTACACTATAATCAGATCGAGAGTTTCTAAGTTTCTCTGTGCCCTACAGCAAGCGACGTCAAGATTACATGGGTGGATTACACGTGCGACGCGAACCATACTCTATGCTGCCATCTGTTGTGCCCCGTCGACGCGACGCCATAGGTCCCATCCCTGTCCAGGTCAGGTTATCTCGTCCGTCTTACTCAGCTTGAGCTCAGTCAGAGGAGCGCATAAATATCCTAAATCTAGAGTCAGGACAGAACTAAGGCTTCACGCACTGTACACAACACAGCACTAGACGCCACCTGACGTTACTTCCAAGTTTGTTTCTTCCCGAGCAGAACAGGGTACACATGATGCCCGTTTGACTAACCCAAGGTTGCCTTGTGAAGAGGGCTCTTAAGTGATTCTTGCATTTCGCTAGGCTTTCGACAATTCGCACTTAGCAAAAAGGGCCTATAAAATGTTTTGTAACTCGCCGTTGACCTTTTGACTTCAGTCTCTTCGGTCAAACTTTGATTTCTGTGGTTCGTATTGGTTGAGGTGCTTGTACATGGGGTGCAACTGGCTGGCGCAAAATACACGTGTGCAGAGTTTCCGCCGCGTGCAGGGCAAATTCGCGCGCAGGGGTTGGGCATCTTGTGTATGCGTGGTTGCGATGCGACAATCTCGCTGAGCATCACTGCTGCTGAAAGAAAGGGGCTCTACCAAAAGAAGCTCCCTCAAGCAGTCACAGACACAAGGAGGAGATGGGTGATGGGTGGGTTTGTAGGAGTTCGGAGATTTAAGAATTCGGTAAGGTTGAAAGTGGTTGGGGAGAGTGGTGAGATATGGAAAGTGGCATATGAGAGATTGGGGAGGAAGGAGGGGATGAGAGGTGCACGGCGCGACATTGTGTGGCTGGGAGCGCTCGCGCCTGATGAAATTTGGGGGCGGGACAGGGGACTGGACAAAATCGTGACGTGTAATGTTTCCGTTACAAAGGCCCAGTCAACGAGACGCTTCGAGCCCAGTCAACGAATTTGGCTGCGCCGCGGAAGGTAATGAGAAAGTGCATGTGGACCACTCGTATTCATGGTCATCGTTTAGACAAAGGTGCTCCAGAAATACACCTTCATGGAAAATATCTATTAGCTCCATTCAATACTTGATATTTCACCACTTCAAAACAACCGAGTGGTGAGTTGCTGGTTGTTACGAGTGCAATTGAGTAAGCGAACAAAGATTGCACTATCGAAGCAAAACATTACATTGAGCGAAGAGATGAGCGAAGTTTGAATAGCGAACTAGCGTGGAATGTCGGGTGTGCGACGGGCCTGGCGCCTAGGTCGGGAATTGTCGAGCCGGAGGACCGTGTTAGAATGAGAACAGCGGAATGAGTTCACTAGCAGGCATGGGGAGTACAAAAGGGGAAACCCTAAAAGGGTTGTACACTCTAATGAGTACCCCACTACAGCCTACACAACAATATATGCATTTTGACACACCCCCATAGGCAAAGTGGGGGATAGCAAGAACAACCAATGGTCACAAGACCAGTCAAGCAAAGAAGCAAAGCAAAGCAAAGCTCAGGGTGGATCTCAAGATCACCACGCAGTCCGAGCACAAGCAAGTGGCCACAAGGCTGTGAGTTATGAGCGAATAGTTTGGCCAAAAGAGGAAGATTGATTAGAGAGAAGGGTACAAGTAGGAGCAAGGGTGGGCAAGATGGTGCACCACTAACAATAAGAGTAACAATACACAGTAGCTACACTAGCAGGCAGTTATAAGAAATTTATAATTCCTATTACACCCCCTAACTGCCTGCAGTGGGAGCCACGTGCAGAGACACCAGATTAGAGTAGCACAACAGGTATGCGGTGGCAGATGCAGCGGCGGCAGGTGCGGCGGTGGTAGCTAGACTTCACTCCCGCCACCCCCTCACCCTCTTCCCCCACAGCAGCAGGTGTGGCAGTAGGAGAGATGCTAGGGGGGAGGGGGAGGGGGGGGGGGTGAGGCGGCTGCTGCTGAAACACATCCGCCACCCACTCACCCTCCCCCCTACAGCAGCAGGCGCAGCCGTGAGCGAGAGGAGGTGGGCTGGCGCTGTAGGTGCAGCCACCCCCCACCGCCACTCCCGCGTCCCCCAACACCCTCCCCCCCCCGCCCCCAAACTGCTGCACACGCAGCAGGGAGAGGGAGGAGAAGGGGGGGGGGGGGGGGGGGGGGGGGGGTAGGGGCTGCGCCTGCGGCTGCAGATGCGCGTGCAGAGTGGAGCAGCCGCGCGCACCGCAGTCGCCACACACCGCAGCAGGGCGCGCAGGCCAGCAGGGCGCGCGGGGCGATCTGCTGGCAGAAACCGACGCGTGCTCGGGGCGCACGACGGGCAGAAACCGCCGCGCGCTCGGGGCGCACGACGGGCAGAAACCGCCGCGCGCTCGGGGCGCACGACGGGCAGAAACCGCCGCGCGCTCGGGGCGCACGACGGGCAGAAACCGCCGCGCGCTCGGGGCGCACGACGGGCAGAAACCGACGCGCGCAACGGGCGCGCGACGGGCAGCGTGACGGACAGGGGCGCTGCATAACGGGCAGTGCGACGGTGGGCCCATTGGAAATTATGACGGAGGTCATTAGGAACTTCCGGCTCTATATACCATGCCAATATAGGCTCATAACTCACACCTTAGCTAGAAAGGTTGAGTATGGAGAGAATAGTTTGGCCAAAAGAGGAAGATTGATTAGAGAGAAGGGTACAAGTAGGAGCAAGGGTGGGCAAGATGGTGCACCACCAACAATAAGAGTAACACTACACACTAGCTACACTACCAGGCAGTTATAAGAAATTTATAATTTCTAACAAAGACTAGTTCACATGCAGAGTTATAAAAGCACAAGCAGTACAGTGAAAACAACCTAGCAAGAGTAAGCATGCAGGTATATATAAAGATCACAGTACAAGACAAAATCAAGCAGTAATAAAGTGAGGCAAAGTAGGCACTAGGCCTAGAGCAGTACAGAAACGCTGATGATCACCAGACACAAGTGCCTTGGTGAAAATATCAGCAGTGTTGGCCCGTGAGGCCACGTAAGCAAGGCGAAGCTGACCACGCTGCTGTAACTCTCGAGCGAGGAAGTAACAAAGAGCAATGTGCTTCGTTCTGTGCTCCAGTCTGTCAACGGGAGTTGTGTGTTGGCCCCGTCCTCGCTTGGGCGGAGCCGACTTCGTGGTCGAGTGTGGGGGGAGCAGCCGACCTGCAGAAGTGGGC